TGCTTAGTTACTTCAGTTAAATGCAGCCCCTGTAGACTAAATGCTTCCACTGAAGGGAAACACTTCATGCATTCACACATTAATTTAATTGATCCAATACATTGTCCTCACCTGTTCGGTTTTTAAGATACCTATAAATGTTTGCACTTCTCATTACACTCCATATTTAATTTGCATGCTTATTAACTGGTATGTAACTGAGTAGGAAAAAACAAAACCCACCCTACCTTGTTCTTAATGTCAACCAGCCTCCTTTTATATTGAGTATAACACAAAGGGGTTTTTTCTCTTCCTTTTTTTGTTAGGAATTGCATCGGACAGCAATTTGCCATGAATGAACTAAAAATAGCACTTGCTCTGACGCTGCTTCGCTTCGAACTAATACCTGACCCAGAAAAAACTCCGATTCCAATCCTCCAGGTTGTCCTCAGGTCTGAAAATGGAATACACATCATTTTAAAGAAACTCGACTGATCCTGAAAAATTATTCCAGGAGTTGATGCCAAGAAGACTGTAAGACAAAGATGGGGCGTTAACAGACTATGCAAAACTACCAGAAGCATGATGCATACTACAGCTTTTTTAATCGTAATAAATCTCTCCACTTTGCCCAGAACTATTCTCATTTTTAACTTTAATTCCTTGTAAATGCTTAAAAACTCAGCCTTCACTATTTGTCAGAGGAATGCATCACAACATATCTGTCATGGAGTCATGTGTTCCCCTATCTCAGATTGTAAAATGTTGCCTGAAAACTCTGTAATAACTTACACCTTAATATTTTATACAATAATTGTCTAGCAGCAGCTTAATTGTAGAACCCAAGCCTTTAATCTCAAATTGTTCCATGCCTGTGATTCCTCCATGGATTCAGATGACTGCACTTCTTTCGTCCTTTCCATCTCTGCGGAAAGTATAGTAGTTGAACATAAAAGAGCAATACAACAATGAAAGTAAGCATCTACTATACAGCAAGACAGCAACAGGGAAAACAAACTGAATATACCGTACCTAGTATAGGGCAGCTGCCAAATGTATAAAATCTCTTATGCTTCACTGCCCATTAAACTGGATGCCAAGCTAGATAACAAGTACATAGTGAATGGGATCAGAGAGGCTCTTACTGAGTTGTAGGCTGATGTAAACCTCCCTCCCTCCACTCCCCAAGTCTCTTGTCTACTACTGCTCTCTAAAGAGCCAGAGGTGGAATTGTAATAACATCTGCTTGTGGTAGCTTGAAATGGCATATCAGAGAAGTGGTGTGATCCTGTAATGATGTGAGCAACACCCATCCTGCTCAGTGCTTGGAGGAAATGAAGGCCAGTGTTGGTTACCAGTGGGAGAAAAAGGAAGGTGTTACTTGTGGAGCCAACTTCCATTGCAATTCCAATCTTTCTCTTTGTTGTGGACGTTAATAAATCAATGAACCGTGAACCTTTATCTCTATGAACTTCTACTTAAACAAATGAGCATCTGAAGCAGTTAACAGTAAATGTTTTTATTTACATAATAAAAACATAACAATATCTATTCAATTAATAAACAGCACTTAGTTACTATGATAAATTATACTGTCAGCTATCTATCTATATATACTGCTCAAAAAAATAAAGGGAACACAAGCAGAAGACATCCGAGATCTGAATGAATGAAAGTATTAAATACTTTGTTCTTTAAATACAGTAGTTTATACACTGCTCAAACAACTTAAGGGAACACAAAACTACTGTATGTAACGAACCAAGTATTTAATAAGGCTATTTCATTCATTCAGATCTCGGATGTCTTCTGTTTGTGTTCCCTTTATTTTTTTGAGCAGTGTATATATCTATTCTCTCTAAGCTATGTTATCTATGACTATTCTTCCTCAGAAGAAATATTATTATATATCACAGAACTGCTCTTCTAACGGACTTCCAAACTGCTCACAGTTATCTAACGGAATATCCTAGAAGACAATACAATACTAGACAGAAGATCAAACTGAAGAGGAACCTGAAGAGACAAACTGAAGAGTGAGGTTTCTGTTAAGAATCTCCTTTTATACTGCTAACTGTGACAGTTAGGGGAGGGAGCTGCCCTCTGATTGGCTTATGTATCTGTACATTCCAAAAGCCATTAATAGGCACAGCTATAGAGAACTCTTTTTAATTCATCTGGATTATGACAGAACAATCCCCAACATGAGGTACAGAACTGGAATAGGAGAGATTGTAAAGAGAAACCACCAGGGGATCTGTGGACATATACAATAAACAGATGAGAGAATATATTAATGGCTTATCTAGGTAACAGCAGAAAACGTGGGAAGAAAAAAAAATCAGAGACTCAATTTTAATGAGCACACTAATAACACAGAACTGGAAATTCTTGTCACTGTTTCCAAGATGTTCTTTTCTCTAACCCTTGTTGTTGAATATGTAAATAGAGAGTGAAGCCGAGAGCATAGGTTTAGCCGGACATTAGCATACCCGCCACCCATTGGTCCATTCAAGTGGCAGGAAAATTAAAGCAATGTCAGCGCTAGGCTGCCGGACAGCTCCCTTTAAAAGAGAGCGCTGCCGACTAGTCTAGCAGAAGTTTTTCCAAGTCACAAATAAAGAGTTGAAGTTACTTGCTGGAATCCTGCCTCTTCTTTCAACTCCCACACTTAACACTTGTATCTCCTTCTTGAAATCTTGTTTCCTTGATTTTGCCCTTTTCTGTCTCCTAAATAATGAAGTTTGGGGAGAGGGATTCAGGCAAGGTGCTCCTTAGAAGATAAAATCTGATAAAGGCTGGTGGCTTCTGGGAATGGGAAGACCAATCTAGATTTTAGGATTTTGTCCAGAAGCCTCATTCCTACAAACGTGACTTTTGATAGATAGTGCACCATTTCTTTTATAAGAAGGTGTACAGGAAAGGAGGAGTGTAAAATGACTGTGAAACCATGTACATAACCTTAGACATTGCTGATCAACACTTCCAGCTTGCCTTGGCTTAAGCAAGGATCACTAACCATCTGTGAAGGACAGGAATTCATGGATATTATTTTTAACCTTCTCCCCATCCCACAATGAAAGAAGATTCCATGTGTCTTTTCTTGAACCACAACATATACAGCATGGGTATCAAACTCGCGGTGTCACGTAGCCGTCATGTGACGTTTTGCAATGTTTTTCCCTTTGTGGAGCTGGAGTGGGTGTGGCCTGCGTATGACGCATCTGGCCTGTGGGCCGCCAGTTTGATGCCCCTGATATACAGTATTTCCCAAGTCATGCTGCTTTAAGCTGTACTGAACAGTTATTTATTTATTTATTCAATTTGTATGCCGCCCCTCTCCGAAGACTCAGGGCGGCTACAGTTACACTGTTTCATGGTGAAAGGGTGAACTTTTGTTATTTTTCTTCCAAGTGCACTGATAATGTGGTGATTAAAAAAAAACAGGTGGAATTTTCAGTTCTGTGAATTCCCATTTCTAGCCCCAGTAACAGAACTAATTAAAATGTAGTGTTTTGCTTTTTTTATACATTTTCTGGTGGACATACCAGACTGGAAGATATTACTGTGTTTCCCCGAAAATAAGACCCTGTCTTATATTTTTTGAACCCTGAAATAAGCGCTTGGCCTTATTTTCAGGGAGGTCTTATTATTTTGGGGTGAGTGGAGCAAGATGGGGCTCCTCTTGCTGTCTTACCTGATTTCCAGCTCTGCGTTTAAATATTTTCGGGGAGGGCTTATTTTCAGGGAGAGGCTTATTTTAGCACATGCGCTCAAAAGCCTGATTGGGCTTATTATCAGGGGATGTCTTATTTTCGGGGAAACAGGGTAAGTAGGGACTCACCAGACGGCAGCTTATAGCAAGTTGCTCCTGTGCAAATTACGTGGCCCTAAAGACCCATAGAAGAGAGAGGGAATTGTTTTCTCAGCACAAGGGGAGGAAAATCTACTAATCAGAGATTGTGGTATCCATTCTCTGGGCAGAATACCTGACTAGCATCCTTGTCAAAGCTGAAGAGTTTGTTCAGTCTGGGAGACAAACAGCATAAGACTGCTGTGTAGAGTATTCTTTATTTTAATCAGCAAAGATAAACTTTATGGCTTGGTAGTAATCCTTTTTTTGAACAGAAGCCTTAGATATCATGCAAAGTGTATGGCATTCACAAGAAGTCCAGGATAAAAGTGTATTCACAAAGCAAAAGATTGGCAAAGAATGGTGTGAAGTCATGTTTCCTGTTGCACGTACAGGTAGTCCTTGATTTACAACAGCTCATTTAATGATTGTTCAAAGTTACAACAGCACTGAAAAAAGTGACTTAAGATCACTTTTCAGAGTTACCACCTTTGCAGCATCCCCATGATCATGTGATCAAAATTCATATGCTTGGCAACTGGTTTATATTTATGTCCGTTGCTGTGTCCCAAGGTCATGTGATCACCTTTTGCGAACTTCTGACACACGAAGTCTGTGGGGAAGCCAGATTCACTTAACAACTGGATTACTAACTCATCAACTGCTGTGATTCATTTAACAACGGTGGCATGAAAAGTCATAAAATGGGGCAAAACTCACTTAACAAATGTCTCACTTAGCAACAGAAATGTTGGGCTCAATTGTGGTCGTAACTAGAGGACTACCTGTATAAGAAATAAGGTATGCTTCTAGAACGTCTAGGAGACTTCCCAAATGTATGGGTTTGGAATAATAAAGGGGTGTGCTTGAGTTACCCTACTTAGGATCCTGTGCCTCCTACGCTGATGGCAATCCAGAAGGCCTTAAATCTTGTCTGTTTTCCTAGGCCTTGTTGGAGACAGTTTTGCATTTAGACAGTTTGCATTTAGAGCTGTCCAGGTGGAAGTTGATTATTTTGTATATTTCATACTATGCCTAATATGTTGTTTTAAATCATGAGATCCCGTCGCGCAATCCCATCGCGAACTGGTAGTAAAGGTAAGTAGAACCCACCCCTGATCTGTTGTTGTCGTGCACTTCATATTTCATTCAAAGATTGTTTGGAAAATTATGGTTTGATACAATTAGTTTAATAATATCCAGTATGGACAAAGCATGAAATTTTAGTTACAAATGATTTTTTTTTAATAATCAAAAACTGTGATCATATTTTATATAATAGTACTAGAATCCCAGAGGCATATATTCTGTCTTGGCTTCCAAGCCCAACTTGGAGCTGAATTACTCTACAATATGAGTGACTGAAAGAACTGGCCTACATCAAGAAAGGTCATACACTGCTGCTTATCACATGAGAAGAAAAAAATTAAAGAGTAATTTCTCTGCTGAAAGCAGCCAAAGTCTATAACTATAGACCTGTGATGGGGAACCTATGGCACGCGTGCCAGAGGTGGCACGCAGCGCCCTCTCTGATGGCACGTGAGCCGTCACCCCAATTCAGTTCTGCTGCGCATGCGCGCATGTCTCCTGCCAGCCAACTGGTTTTCGGGTCTCTGCCACACATGCGCGGTGCGAGGGTTGCGTGCGGGGGGGCGCACACACATGCAGGGGACAGGGTGCATGTGCGGGGGCAGTGCACGCATTGCATTTTGGGGGTTTGGGCGCATGCGCGTGCTTTGGGCACTATAAGAGCCATGGTGGTACAGTGGTTACAATGCAGTACTGCAGGCTGCCTGCAATTTGGCAGTTCGAATCTCAGGCTCAAGGTTGACTCAGCCTTCCATCCTTCCGAGGTCATTAAAATGAGGACCCAGATTGTAGGGGCAATATGCTGACACTGAAAACCGCTTAGAGAGGGCTGTAAAGCACTGTGAAGCGCTATAGAAATCTTAAGTACTATTGCTATAACAAGATGCTTGTAGTTGGATGTTACAAGGCCACCCAAGTGTTGATCTTTTATCTTCCCATACTGTAATTCATGACTACATGCAAACACTAATTAAAAAAACCCACAGTGGATTAATTACTGGGTGAAACTTTTTAGTGTTGTAGTTAATCTAAAAATGAACTGACAGTAGATGAAACCAGATATCTTGGCCATTCAACCTTTCATCAAGAGAAAATATGCTTCCTGGTAATTATTTGCAAATATCATTCTATAATTTCTATATTCTACTTCCCATTTTCAGTAAATTAGCAGTCCCCAGACCCAGAGGTATTAGTATTTTAATTCCCAGCCACCATGATTAAAGTCTCAATATTTTTTGAAGAGCAACAGAAGTATTCTGGGAATTATAATCTCAAAACATGTACAGGGCACCTGGCTAGATGAGAAAATTCTACAGAAGTCCTTCCCTGCTCCCCACATGAATTATTTCCTCTATTAATTATAGGTTCACCCCAGTTTCTTCAAGCAAAGATGAATTCCGTTGTCAGAGCGCAAGACAATCAGAGGCACTGGAACAGGCGGAGGCTTTGACAAATCAAGTGACAATTCAAATCGAAGCAAAGTCATAGCAAGAACCACTTTCATTTCATTCATGGCAAACTGTTGTCCAATGCAGTTTCTGAAAGGACAAGAAAGCTTGTTATCAAAGGCGCATCTATCTGGAAATTAATTCCCAAATTCCTCACCTTCTGGCATTTCCCTAAACTGGTATCTTACTATTGTCCTAGGACTCTCAACTCCCAAAATTCTCTGATAGTTAATTTATCTTGCCCAGAGTGTTCTTTGAAATATACTACTAGGCATGATAGCAACATTCTAAGATGCTTCTGGGAAGATGCTGTGGTCTTCTATAAATAAATTATAGGTTACTTTTCCCATTTTTTAAAGACCTAGAAACCCTTTGGATTGATATTCTGAGAAATTCTGCCAATAATAAAAAGGAGAATGGAATACCCTGTATTACTTTTTCTACCACCATTTCTTCTGTCAGCAAAGGCAGTGAAAACAATAATTCTAAAAATAAGAAGACCCTTACTACTACCATCTAGAAAGTCCTCTAAATATACCCACCTTTATATGCTCTTTTTATAGCCACTTTTCTTTTTCTGCTTTAGTAATAAATATCAAAAGCAGGTCTTTAGAACCAAAAATTCTAAAGAAAGAATGCTCATCTCAGCACTAGCTGATTTTGTTCATCTACCAAAGAAATCTGGTCATAAGGATCACAATGTTGGCTTCATTGTGTTTAGCTCAGTTTTGACAAGACACGGATAGAGACATTCTGGATCAAGTTAATATGCTTATATCTATATAATAATAAACTCACCTTGGCCCAGCAGCGAACGGAATAAAAGCATGAGAATGTCTGCTGGATAAGTTCTCAGGAGAAAATCTCAGTGGGTCAAACACCTAAAAACAAGAAAGGGGTTGTTTCAATAGGTGGTTACGAAAGAAATATCCAGTTATTTTAGTTGACCAAATTATTAGAGGACATCCATTTCTATCAAGTGCCATAAAAAGAGAAAATTAGGATCACTTCAGCTTTACACATTACAAAGCTGTCTTGAACTGAGCCAAACCAGCAGTCCAACTTGTTCAGTGCCATCTCCTGTACAATTATTCTTTCGGTTTTCAAGCAGGAGATTTTTCCAGTCTGTATCTGGAAATGCTACAGACTGAAACTGGGATCCTAACATGAAATCTACTATTGCCCCTAATCTGAAAAAAAATTTTTTTTGAGTTGCTGTGTTAATACTAAATGTTTTGCAAAATGAAACTTTTGCATTATTTTTATAGATTACATTTGTATTAATCTTAAATGCCATTTAGAAGTGACAACTGTGACAACTCTCTACTTTGTTCTAGTCAACCCAAAGGATGTGGCTCTCTTTTGGAGAAAATAATTGCAATGTCACCAAATACTGTACCTCCGGATTATGCCATATACTGGGGTTCTTGTGCATAAGATGAATGCTTATCACAACCCAGGTGCCTGTGAAACAATCAATATGAGAAAAGGAGTCATGTTGGATTGCATGCAATGAGATGGCAATAAAAGCTCTGATGAACTTTGTGCTGGAAGTTTTGTATCCATTCAGTGATGGAAATTGAGACTGTGCCTATGACTGTAATACAGTACACAAATAGTAGGAACTTGACATTTCTTGACATTTCTGAACCAAAGCAGTAGTTCCAGATAGTGTAATCATAGTATATCAGCATTTATACTATGTAATCCCATTTGGATAGCCTAGAAGGACAGGCAGAATTTCTGTTAATTGACTTGGATATCTCAGTAGCTTTCAGTGCCTATAATGTCTTTCTAGTAAGGCTTCTCAACAAAACTAACATGAATTTTCTGCCAGGTCTTCTGGGACTATTATTTCAAATTCAGTTCCTAGCAGATAAAGATACTTCAATCTGTCCTAAAGTCTACCCAATCCCCCCCCCCTTTGCTAGATACATTATTGGGCCTTTAGCAGGGCTGAAATCTAAAAATTTTCTCTACCGGTTCTGTGGGCGTGGTTTAATTGATGGGCGTGGCTTGGTAGTCAGGTGACCTGGTAGGCGTGGCCAATAATAATAAATAATAAAAATAATAAACAAAGTACACCAAACAATAAGAGGTACCAAAAAACAACTTTCACACTTTACACACACACAACACAACACAACACAACTGACTCACACACAATGTAAAAGCAGCTGCACTTCACCCAAAATGGCTCCTGCAACAAGCAGGAACCTTACACAGCCACAAAAAGCTCAAAAACCAACTTTCACACTTTACATACCCACAACACAACTGACTCACACACAATGTAAAAGCAGCTGCACTTCACCCAAAATGACCCCTGCAACAAGCAGGAACCTCACACAGCCACAAAAAGCTCAAAAACCACCTTTCACACTTTTCCCACACACAGCTTTGTGAGATTTTGTGTGTTTGTGTAGTTAGAGTGAAACACTACAGATACACACCAAATCTCAGAAAGCTGCACAAATATTTTATTTTATTATTTTATTTTATTTATATTTTTAGATAAAAGCAGCTAAATTTAAAACTTCCTTAACTTTAAATTGCTATGTCTAAAAAGAAAAACTCCTAAAAAAACCCCAATTAACTATTTTTTTTAAAGCTCCCAGTTACTTACTAAATTGAAGGCATAAGGCAGGCAGGCAGATTGAGCTGCTCACCGATTGCATTGATTGCAGGCAGACAGATTGAGTTGCTAGCGGATGCAATGGATTGCAGCAGCCGAAGCAAGGCAGGAAAAGCGAGTGAGCCCAAAAGCAGTAGCAAGCTGCCAAGTAGGCAAATGGGGACTGGGCGATTGAGTGGGCATGGGCAGGGGAGCAGGGATTTTTGCAACCGGTTCTCCAAACTACCCGCCGCCATCGGTAACGGATCACCTGATCTGGTCCGAACCAGGAGCATTTCACCCCTGGCCTTTAGGCAGTGGAGGGAAAGGGACTGGTAGGCTCAACTGTGTACATGTTGTTTTGATTCATTTAAAGTTTTGTAGTAAACTAGCCTGAGTGAACTAGAATGAAATAGAGACTCCTAGCTAAATAATAAACAGCCAAATTAGAAACAAGGTAGTTTAGAGACAAATTGTATGAAGATGATATGTGTTGCAATGATGCAGCTAAAAAAGATCTATGGATATGAGAATAGAATAAAATGATTTGAACCTTCAGGTAGAGTTTTCCCATCAAAAAATGTAACAGGTTTGGTTAATTCTCGGGAGACTCCAGGTACCGGAGAATAAAGGCGGAGACTCTCTTTAATGCATAAGGTGCAGTAAGTCATCTTATTAAGATCATCCCTGGAATATATTGAAACAAAGTGCATCAATAGATTAATTACTAATCAGATAAATTATTTAAAGTTATTTAAGGATCCTCTGTATTGGTAGTTGTCATGCTAGTGCTGAGATTTGATGCCCTCAGTAATAAGAACACAATCACAGCAGCAGAACCAAAACCTAACAAAATGCAATCAGTGGGCACCCTTTTAACCTCTATAACCACCAATACTTACAATATCACTCACTGATATCCCACATCTACCCACTGAATAATGATACCTATAGGAAATCTCTCCAGTACAATACTTACCACTCGATTGTGTCACGATCTCCCAGAATGGATTTTATCTCCTCTCTACATCTTTCCTGATGCTCAGGATTTTGTGCAAGGCAATACAGCAGCCAAGAGATCCCGCTAGCTGTGGTGTCGTGACCTTCAAACATGAAAGTGTCCACTTCAGCACGTACCTCTTCATCAGATAATCCAATGCCATTTTCATCCTAAAGATTGAGAAACTTGATAAGTGATAAGACTTTATCGAAGAATTCATTTTTTCACTAGGTTCATACAAGACTCTAAGTAATAAATATATTTTGTTTCATTTTTGCCTTAAGAGTATTTTGTGATCCAGTCTTCCAGTAAAAGATCTATGGCAGACTTGATGTTCCTGATGAAACAGGCATGGCATTGTGGTAAAGATTAGTGGCCACATGGCAAATTCAAACCAGTCCTGTCTTTCCAGATAAAGGAGAGAACATGAGATAACCCACTTGCACTCCAGGCAGCTGTTTCTCATGAGTAGACTGCAGGAATGCTTTGCTGTGGGTGGCTGAAATTCCCTGCTTTTTATGACTTCTGATTGGCCAGGGGAAAAAATTGTTTGACCACTGGAGGGAGCTAAGAAGATAGCTAAAGTGAAGCATATTTTTAGAGACATATTTGAAAATTACCTTTGGAAAACTGGTCATATTATAAATCAATTATGTTCTAAAATATAAATGAAATGATACTTTATAAAGAGTAATAGGTACAAACAGAAATATATACAATTTCCTACAGCAAAGAAGGAAAAAAAGTAGAGGTGGTTAAATTGATTGTTTCACTCAAAAAAAAAAAACATATCTAATTTTGTTTCCATTTGGAAATCGCTTCTGGATTTTGTGCTCCTGATGGGGAAAAATGAAACTTTGATTTTTTTTTTCTGATTATATAGGTTTGTTTTTATAGAAAGGCTAGTAGTATTTATTATTGTGTAAAAGTAAAAAGTTGAGGCAGTAGTGTGATCATCTTCTACTGTGCTAAAGAGAGTCAGAAGTCAACTTTATTTTCTTTTTCCCCTTTACCCCTCAATTTTTTTATTTTCCCTCTTTCATTCATTAGTTTTCCATTATTTTCATTTTCTTTGTATTTTATATTCTGATAAGCTAATAAAAATTTCAAATATAAAATAAAATATACAAAAGTATGAAGGCTATTGCTTAACGCACTGTAAACCGCCCTGAGTCTCCGGAGAAGGGCGGCATATAAATCAAATTTTAAATTTTTTTTTAAAAAAAGCTTACGCAGATATAAGAAAGTTTCAAAACAATAAAGTGGATAGTTTTTGTGTGAAAGTGCTTTTGAATACATTGGAATTAAAATTGACAAACTGCACCTTTATGGGAATGTTTTTTTTTTCTTTACTATTAAAGAGTGCAGGCAATCGTTGGATTTTAAAAAATAAGAGGCAAAACAAAGTTTAAAATGGAATTATACATAAAAGAGGTGCATATATTGCTAAGATGTATGAACTTCTGTTGAAATTTGAAATGGAAGAAGAATAAGTGAAAGAATATAAATTGGGCTAAAAAAATTGGTTATAATATGCAGACGGAACAATAGGAAAATATCTATATCCATGTCAGTTATCTTTTGAGAGTTTCAAAACTTCATAGCATGAATTTGAATTGCAAGGTTCTTATTTGATTATATAAAGTCTACTGGTAGTAAAATCATTTAGAAATCATAGTCACAACTAGTATAATTAACTGACCAATGTTTTCCTCATTGCTATACTTACTTTGGCACAGAGAAGAATGTCAAGAAAATCCAAGTGCCTCTTCGCCTGGATCTTTTGAAGTTCTTCCTCAACCTTCAAAGATTCCTTTCTTTCCTTGATTATTTTCTCTGAATTGGAAACATTTGATGTTAATATAATGTTTAAGCTTGTTCATGGTAATTCCTTACACTGTAGGAAAATGCCAAACTGTACATTATGTTAACCTTTTTAATTAGCTATTTTTCTTGTTGCAATAGCATACCAATTGAGTGATTTCCTTGAGTGCATTGCAAAAGTTGAAAAAATGCAGACTGAAATACAACATACTAATGAAATATAAAATACACAGAAGCACTTAAAATGATGGATTGAATAAAAATCCTACTCTGCATGATTTCTTCTTAAACGGTTGTTTAAGATTTGCTTATGTTTTTGTTCATTTTTTTTTTTACCTTCCTTTGGGTCCAGAACACCCAAAACCAAAATCAAAGCATTGGAAAAAAAATACCTGTATGAAGGTGAGCAACTTGGCAGGCTTTCCGAAACCGAAATCCATGGGGACTGAACCAATATAGAAGATCACTGTAACCTACAATGTATTGCATCCTGGCATATATCAAGAAGCAAAGCTCAAAGACAGCTTGAACGTAAGAATTTTCCCTAAAGGACAGCAGGAAAATCAAAGGATAAATTCAGGATTTTAAATATGAATACTGTCACTACTTTATAGTCTTCAAACAATAGTACGGGTAGTCCTTGGCTTACAACCACAATGGAGCCTAAAATTTATGTTGCTAAGCCAAACATTTGCTAAGTGAATTTTGCCCCGTTGTCACAGTTGTTAAATGAATCACCGCAGGTATTAAGTCAATAACAAGTTTGTTTTGTGAATCACGCTTCCCCATTGACTTTGCTTGTCAGAAAGTCGCAAAAGGTAATCCCATGACCCCAGGACACTGCAACCGTCATAAATATGAGCCAATTCCCAAATTCTGAATTTTGATCACATGACAGTGGGGAAGCTGCAAATGGTCGTAATTGTGAAAAACGGTCATCAGTGACTTTTTTCAATGCTGCTGTAACTTCAAACGGTCACTAAATGAACTATTGTAAGTCGAGGCCTGCATGTATTGAAACAACTCAGTGAAGCTTAATTCTGATTTTACATAAAATTACATCATAAACCATTACATTTATTTTATGTTATTAAAGCTTTCATTTAGCTTTCTAGACAACAGGTAAAGGTAAAGGTATGTGCTAATTGTTCCAGATTCTAGGGGGCGGTGCTCATCTCCGTTTCAAAGCCGAAGGGCCAGCGCTGTCCGAAGACGTCTCTGTGGTCTTGTGGCCAGCATGACCAAACGCCGAAGGTGCACAGAACGCTGTTACCTTCCCACCAAAGTTGGTTCCTATTTTTCTACTTGCATTTTTTACGAGCTTTCGAACTGCTAGGTTGGCAAAAGCTGGGACAAGTAACGGGAGCTCACTCCATTAGGCAGCGCTCGGGATTCGAACCACCCAACTGCCGACCTTTCTGATCGACAAGCTCAGCATCTTAGCCACTGAGCCACCACATCCCTTGGACAAGAGTCAGTGGTAAATATTTAACAACCAACTCTGTTGCTGCCATCTTGCCACTAGCAACTGAACAGTCTGCTGCTCTGCTCTCACTCACGTCACAAAATTCCAGAAATTTAACAATTAGTTCTCATGAGCCAATACAAGTGGGATGCAGGACACCACTGATAATAATGCTGTAGTGTATTATAGATAACACAAGGCCCATCGATTAATACTTCAGGAATGTTATTTAAAAGCAATTCTGACTATTCATTAACTAATACAGTATAAATTCCCTGGGCATTTTATTGCTGTCCAGCCCACCTAAATCAGGGGATGATTTACTCTGCACCACAGGCTGCAAATAAATGTCAACTCCTGGTTTGAAGTCCATTGCCAAAATCTGACAGAAAATAACTGAGCTTTCAGGGCTCAGTTTCAATTTTCCACTGATTTCTGAAAATGGGGGTGGAATAGAAAAGAAACAAGGTTTGTTAAGTTTCTTACTGTGCTTATGGTCACCTCATCCTAATTTTTTTAAATACCCCCACCCCCTCCTCTCTGTCACCAAAGACAAGTGTTGGAAAAGTAGCTCTGACCACTAGCATAACACTATTATTTTGCCCGATTTCAGCCTCATCAGCCAAAAATTATAGGGAATCAGTCCTGGTTGCAAAACATTTGATTATGTGTAAATTGTGCCTTTAAGTCAGTGTGGACTCCTGGCGACTGCCTGGACATGACTCTGCAGTTTTCTAGGAAATATTTTTTTTGGAGATGGTTTACCATTGCCTACTTCCTAGGGTTAAGAGGGAATATGTGGCACAAGGTCATCCAAACTGAATTTGTGCTGAAGGCACTAGACTAGAACTCAGTCTCCTGGTTTGAAGCCTAATGCCTTAATCACTATACTAACTTTCTAAACCTTGATTACTCATTGCATTGAAATGATGTATAATGTATACAAACAATGAGGCAAAAATTCTTTTGGGGGACTTAACTGCAGTTTTTATTTGACTCCAAAAGAGCAAGTGATGCATAGTAAATAAAGAGGACAGTCATGAAATGTGTAAGTTGTGATTCTGTATATGTGGGAGGGTAAGTAGTTACACAATATAAGGATGCTATGTTTTATAACAGGATCACTTGGATCCCATTAAGTCATTACTGAATATGTTACTAAACCAAGAAAGGAGATTTTTACCAAAGTTAAAAGAAAAGCAATACCAACTTGTACGTTTGACAGTTGCTGTTATAACCAAAGGCACATTTCATGATGCTATCAAGTGTCATCAAGCTCACATGTTCAAAGAGTTCCACTGATTTCTCCTGCATGATCAGTTGTTCCCATTTATCCTAAATCAACAGAAGGAAAAAGAAATATTTCTGTTATGTTATGTTGGACCCCTTAAAACAGGGGTGTCAAACTGGCGGACCATGGGCCAAATACATCACGCACAGGCCATGCCCACCCTGCCTCTGCAAAGGCAAAAAAATCACAATACGTCACATAATGTCACGTGACTGATCGAGTTCGACACCCTTGCCTTAAAACAAGCAAAGCTAAATTATTGTATAGTATATTCTATAAATCATTTTACTCTAATGTATAGAACTGTGATGGCAAACCTATGGCATGGGTGCCACAGGTGGCATGCATAGGCATAGGCATAGGCACGTGAGCCCCCCAGCTAAGCTGTATATACATCCAACAGGAACAGGAAGTGCCTCACAGGAGCAGATAGAGGTAAATCCTAGAGAGGCAGGAAATGCATCACTGAACAATAGAGATAAATGCTAGAGAGGAATAAAGCTGCATACAAGGCCGACATAACACCTGTAACAGCGTAGGCATGCCGGGGGGGGGGAACACGGGGGGAAGCATGCCCCCCGCTCCCATTTTTGGTCCCAGGAGGCTTCAGGGAGGACTGCAAGAGGGGTGTCACGCATGCATGCACAGGGGATGGGGGAGCTTGCGTGGGGGGGGGGTGGCATACGCAGGGGGGTATCGTTCACGCACTGTATTATGGGTGTGGGCACACGTGCGTATGCTGTTGTGTGCGTGCGCACATAAGGACAAAAAGGTTAGTCATAACTGGTATAGGAGAATGACATCTCAATTTTCTCAAGTAATTATTTTTCTGAGACATTCATTACTTTTCATTTCTGATTCTCTAATGCAATGTTTCTCAACCTTGGCAACTTTAAGGTGGGAGACTTCAACCCCCAGAATTCTGCAGCCAAACACACATACATATGCACACACCATTTCAGCTGCAATAAATCATTCACAGAAAAACTTTTAATAAATCAATTATTAACACTTACCAACATCACTTTTGTAGAGTCTGCAATCAGGGGCACATATGGCTTTAATACACTAAAGTGGAAACCTGGAGTTAGCAATTTTCGATGTTGTGCCCATTTGGGTCCATGCAGGACCAATAAACCTTTCCCTAAAGGAAACAGACACTTCCAATCAAATAAGAACACAGGAGAAGGAAGGAGTATTATATAGGTTCGGCACCTTGCGTTACTTATAATAAAGGCAAGATGAAAAAAATATAATAAAAAATAAACAGTGCTATACAAAATCTTGTTACATTTAGGTAATCTCCTATAGTTTACAGCAGCAATGAAACTTCATTTCCATAAAAGTTTTCATAACTATTTCATTACTTCTGAACCAGGTAAGTAGTGCTTTATGCACCTGATGTACATACAAAGAAATAAAAGAAAACAGAGATTTCAAAGTTCATTGCAATTGAGTCTATAGTAAGAACATTTACCATAACCATAAACCAGGGGTGAAATCCAGCAGGTTCTGACAGATTCTGGAGAACCGGTAGCAGAAATTTTGAGTAGTTCAGCGTGGCTGGCCCCAGAGTGGGGTGGGAATGGAGATTTTTGCAATATCCTTCCCCCAGGAGTGGGGTGGGATTGGAGATTTTGCAGTATCCTTCCCCTGGAGTGGGGTGGGATTGGGGATTTTGCAGTATCCTTCCCCTGCCATGCCCACCAGGCCACGCCACCAAGCCACACCACACCCACCAACCCACGCCCACAGAACCAGTAAAAAATTTGGATTTCACCACTGCCATAAACCAAGATACATTATGTAATGTGAGTATCAAAACTTCTTATTGTGTCCCTTTCTGTGACTCATGTTTACGTTTCTACTTTATTTGTAGCTGATTGGTTAACCTGAGCATTCTTGATAAGCATTTTCTTCAGATTTATTTTTTGCCTTAGAAATGTTTTCTCCTTTGCCTGTTTCTTCATGGGGCATTTTCAAACATATGTTGGATAGATAATAATAATAATAATAATAATAATAATAATAATAATAATAATAATTTTATTTCTATACCGCCCTTCTCCCGAAGGACTCAGGGCGGTGTACAGCCTATTAAAAACACAAAACAACATCAGTTAAAATAGTTTAAAATTATTAAATAAATTCGGCTAAATTTTAAAACCCCAGAAATTTAAAACCCAATTTAAAATTGTTATGTTGATAGCCCAGCCTGGTGGAACAACAGGGTCTTTAGTGCGCAATGAAATACCCGGAGGTCGGAGATCTTACGTATTTCCGGGGGCAGTTCATTCCACAGGGCTGGGGCTCCCACAGAGAAGGCCCTCCCCCTGGGTGTCGCCAGCCGACATAACTTGGCCGATGGCACCCTGAGGAGGCCCTCTCTGTGGGAGCGAACTGGCCGGTGGGAGGCTATTGGTGGCAGAAGTCGGTCTCGAAGGTACCCGGGTCCTATGCCATGGAGCGCTTTAAAGGTGGTGACCAGCATCTTGAATCGCACCCGGAAGACCACTAGGAGCCAGTGCAGCTCGCGCAGGAGGGGTGTCACGTGGGGGCAACGGCCCAGATATTTGTCAGGTGTGGTTTAATGGATTCCAACAATAAGCAGAGAGTTGGACTAGATGGCCTATTTGTCTCCCAATGTATACATACTATGATCACTATACATGCTTGTCTACTTTCATTGCATTGCATCAGAAATATTGTACAGCATAATAATTAAAACTTGAAATGCAGAATTGTGCCCAAATGGCTCATCCACACAGCTGTGTTGATGTATCTTTCCTCCATGTTGTCTTTGCAGACTGATTCATCAAGAGAGACTGAGGATCATGAAAGGCAAAGTTCTTTTGGGAAAAAATTCTTTGGCAAAAACCACTACTTAAAATGTCAATTGAGATTCTCAATCATCCAGGTCATTGTTGTCCCAAAGGTGCTGTTTCCAAAAGGCAAGTGGAGTTTCTTGGCTTTTTTCTTGGAAAACATTTCACTTCTCATCCAAGAAGCTTCTTCAGTTTCAGCTTCTTCTGCCCTTTGGAAAAAGCACCTTTGGGACAGTACTTAAAATCACTATGATCAGCTTCATGGAGGCCCATTTGTAAGCATTAAATATACTGATTAGTAAGAAGGAGAGTAGGCAGGTAAGACAGGGATTAAGAACCAAACCATTGGATGTTCCTCCCATGATCAATCTCTCTTTATGCTAGGAGACCCCTAACTCTGGGACCAGATGCCAAGGGGTGGCACAGCAGTGTTGGCAAGACACTGACTTCTGAAGATTTCTCCTCCTTCAACATCTACATGGATGCTTTTTATGCTTTCTCAAAGAAAACAGTACTTTTATCAATTTTAATTCCAGGATTTCAGTAGTCAGTAGATGAATGAATTATGCAAAAGTTAGCAGGATAAATAAATCTAAAGGCCTATTTGTGGCACCTGCAAGGATGTATGTGTCTGAACTGGCACAATGGGCAGACTGGAGTGTTGCAGTACAAACATTGCCCTTTCTGAATATATATGCAATTCTCTCCGTCCAACAACCTGATTTTTGACTTCCTTTAGATGGCACTGCAAGTCAATAAATTCCCCATAAAAGTCCATTGAAAAAAACCTACCAACCCAGAGGGATTTTTTTTTTTACTCGCAAATGAAAGTCTTGCTAAAGTCAAGGCTTCTATGAGAATCTCAATTTCTAATGTAATTTATTTATTTATTTACTTACTTACGCCTCTACTTCCAATAACTCTCTAGAGCAGGGGTTTCCAAACTTGGCAACTTTAAGACTTGTGGACTTCAACTCCTAGAATTCCTCAGCCAGCTTTACTTTGCTGGCTGAGGAATTCTAGGAGCTGAAGTCCACAAGTCTTAAAGTTGCCAAGTTTGGAGACCCCTGCTCTAAATATCTCTTGACCCTATTCAACTCCTTTGTAAATCATGGGGATACTGGAAGCGATAAGACAATAATACAATAGTAATAAATAAATACATACTTATACAACCGATTTGGAATTTTATTACTCGAGAATACTTAATATATTTCATGTATATTTTTCAGAAATCATTATATTAAATAGCATATAGACTCAGTTCTCTATCATAACATATTTTGTCTGTTTATTATATATAATCAATACACATTTCCAGAGAAGTGGAAGCAAGCAGAAATTAAAATAAGCAAACAAAATAAAGGTAAAGATTGCCTTTCTTTAGTTATGAAATAGCTATGACAAAAATTAGACAATGGAGAGCTCCTAAGGGGGAGTCTTTAGAATAAAATTATAAACAATTTTATCTGTGCTAACTGATCAATTGTTCTTCACCATGGAGAACTGGAATATACATACCAATCCATGGGACCATGTGCCGATAACCAAAATTATCTTTTGGTTCTAAAAGAAGAGAAAAAAGAAGTAAGATTCTATAGATTAATTAATTACACCAGGCTGCGATTAGAGAAAAATACATAAATTTCTGAGAAAAATATCTGCTAACCTAAAGAAATAATAACTAGATAATTAGTGGTTTTATTTATGGATAAAGAACTCATAAAGAATATTATACATTAAAATATGGGCATAATATAGAGATATCCTTACTTTGCATTTTTAATGCTAACACATAACAAAATGACTCCCCTTCTTCCCCCAATAATTTTCAGGGTGTTCCTCAGATTAAAATAATTTTCTCAAAATATACTCCGTCCCTTTCTAGACAGTATCAAATAATGCTTATGTTCTATTGTGATGTAAAAAACAACTGAAACAACTATTGTACAAACTACCCCTCTACTTGAGAAAACCTTGGACTCCTTGGTTTTCTGCCACATAAATTGTTTTCCCTACTTTTTATAAATACGCTATACATTCCAGGTGGCTGATAAAACTTTGGGAAATTATTACTTAAATTACACAGACAACAGGAACAGATATTCCCATATTACTAAGTAGCCTTTTACTATATTCCACAGCACAGTATCAGCAGTAGAATCCTTCAAGTTTTGGGGTTTTATAATTTTCTAGGATTTGAAATGGACACCTAACGTTAGAACCATCATCAAAAAGGCACAACGAAGAATGTTCTTCCTGTATCAACTTAGGAAGCTCAGACGGCCCCAAGAGCTCTTGATACAGTTTTAAAGAAGAATTATTGAGTCGGTCTAAGTATATTCACCCATGTTGTATTGCTGTATTTATTTATTTATTTGATTTGATTTGATTTCTATACCGCCCTACTCCCGAAGGACTCAGAGTGGTGCACAGCCAAACAATAAAACACATACATACAAAATTTAAAAATAGAATTAAAATCAAATTAAATAATTTTGGCCCGGACAAATTAAAACCCCAAACTATTTAAAACCAATTTTAAAACTGAATGTATAAAATACTAAAAAATATTTAAAAATTAAAAATCTCTTATAAAAGAGGGAGAAAATTAGGCCAGGCCCGCCTGGTGAAATAATAAGGTCTTTAAAGCACGGTGGAAGGTCACAGATCCGGGATCCTCCGTATCTCTGGGGGGAGCTCGTTCCAGATAGTAGGTGCCCCCACAGAGAAGGCTCTCCCACTGGGGGCCGCCAGTCGGCATTGTTTGGCCGACGGCACCCGGAGGAGCCCCTCTCTATGGGAGCGTATCGGCCAGTGGGAGGCTATTGGTGGTAGTAGGCGGTCCTGCAAGTACCCAGGTCCTAAGCCATGGAGCGCTTTAAAGGTGGTAACCAAAACCTTGAAGCGCACCTGGAAGACCACCGGGAGCCAGTGCAGCTCGCGCAGGAGGGGTGTTACATGGGAACGCCATGTCGCTCCCATTACCGCCTGCGCGGCCGCACTCTGCGCCAGTTGGAGCCTCTGGGTGCTCCTCAAGGGGAGCCCCATGTAGAGAGCATTACAATAGTCCAGGCGGGAGGTGACAAGGGCATGAGTGACCGTGAGTAATGAGTCCCGATCCAGAAAGGGACGCAACTGGCGAATCAGGCGAACCTGATGAAAAATCCTCCCAGTCATGGCCGTCAAGTGCTCTTCTAAAGACAGCCGTGAATCCAGGAGGACGCCCAAGTTGCATAAATAAATAAATTCACCCATGTTGTATTGCTGTAGTATTATTATTATCACTCATCTTTTCTATTACCCCTTCTTATTGGTATTATTATGATTATTATTTTGTTGATCTATATGGACACTGAGAGCTTCTGCACTAGAAACAAATTCCTTTTGTGTCTAATCACATTTGGCCAAATATCCTATCCTATCCTATCCTATCCTATCCTATCCTATCCTATCCTATCCCATCCCATCCCATCCCATCCCATCCCATCCCATCCCATCCCATCCCATCCCTATAGTGGAAACTCCCAACAAGCCCTTGGACCTGGCACATAGATACAGTCTTGGGACAGCAGTGCCTAATATTGCTATGCTATGATTTATGCTTTGCTATGCTTTAGAGGATTTTATACATGATAACCAGCATTTCAAATGCCAGAAGCCTATTAGAATGCATAAACATTACAATTTATCCAGATTCAGAGTGGCCTATCAATAGCCTTGACCGTTTTGTACCAGATGCAACTTGCAATGTAACTCCAAAAACCATCCTGTACAGAATATGTTACAATAGTCCAAGCAAGTGTTGTTCAAGATATAAGTTACGGTCACCCAGAACATTTTTTCAGAAACAGCTAGGCACACTCAGTCTTCCTTCAAATGTTCTTCTGTTACATTCATGCCAGCTATAGGAAAAATCTGGCAATGTGAAGATAGACCAAGTGCCAGGTCCAAGTCCACTGTAACAGCCACCAAAAACAACAGCATGCTGTGAAAATTAGCAGACCGTCAGAACATCTGGTCACTGAGATGGAATTATATAGATCACTACCATTTTATATTTCTGTCTCATAACCTGCTGTAGCACATAGTAATCCAGCAAATAAAATAAGAAAGGACCTCACTCGCCACTGTCAGTTACTTCTACTGGTACATTTCTGTTCAGTCTTTTCATCCAAGAAAACATACAGGTTGGAGGAACTGTCTTTACTTTGACTTCTTTGCTTACTCAGTAGCCTGAAAGAAAGGAAGGCCAGCCTGCAATCTATCCTTCTTTTCTTGTATCCCATTTAATAGCAATAGCAATAGCACTTAGATTTATACCACTTCATAGTGCTTTTACAGCTGTCTCTAACCGGTTTACAGAGTCAGCATATTGCCCCCAACAATCTGGGTCCTCATTTTACCCACCTCGGAAGGATGGAAGGCTGAGTCAACCTTGAACTGGTGAGATTTGAACTGCAGCTAGCAGTCAGCTGAAGTAAGTAGCCTGCAGTACTGCACTCTAACCACTGCACCACCTCAGCTCTAATATCCCTTTGCCAGTTACTACTTCTATATTAGCCAGGCCATTGGTATGTATGTAAAACAATTTGTCAACTTAGAGAATATGTTTTTTTAAGTAGATATTTATTGAAATCTTCTGTGGAAAAACTACAGAAAAACCATATTTGTGGTTTTTCTTTTTCTTATGGCTGGATAATTGGAGATGTCATCTGTGTATGCAATTTGCAACTGTACCATAATTAATAGTGGTTGGGGAACTTTGGAGTCATAAATTTGTTTTGGAATATACTTTCCTTGTTACTGACCAGTTAATGTACATGTGCAATGAAGTATTAATTACAACAACTAATGAATTACGACTGTTGTGTGTCTTACCCGTTCGAGCAAGTATTGGTTTTGCATAATCAGGATGAGTGATATTCAAAAATGCAATGAACCTGCCAAACCACAGAGGAAAGGCAAATGGATACAGACAACTCCATTTCTCTATATTTCTGTAAACTGCAGAAATAGATGAAAACTGCATTGGTGCAAGATAAAGAAGAAAACAAGAAAAGGTCATATTTGGTAAAATATTTTAATGAGCTATTTGGTGTTTTAAATTTATTTTTTCAGGCTAAAGGCTTCCCTTAGACTTTAAGTAGCATATCTAAAGCCCCTCCCCTAAAAGCAGATGGAGCCAGGACAAAAAGTGTCTGAAGCCAAATAAAACAAAATATTATTTACATTTAATTTCATTAATGAAATGAACAAAATACAGTTATTATTGTACTCTGTGTTACATAATTTATCTTTCTATCACATTAAGCATTAGAATTCAGTTGCAACTTCTGGAAAAGATGGACCTCAACTGAGCCTTTTAGGGTCTCGTGCATCTTGGAAACTTAGTTTCTGCTGTTGTAGGCCACTTTTTGGCTAAGAATGTCAGATATTACCATGTTTTCCCCAAAATAAGACACTGCTATTATATTTTTTTGAACCCTGAAATAAGCCTTATTGCCATGCGCTGAAATAAGCCTTATTGCCATGGGCTTATTATCAGGAATGTCTTATTTTGAGGGAAACAGGAAACTTACTGTATGTCAATGCAGCATAATACAGGATCTGAAACAAAACTGACAAAACTGAAAAATCTTGCTGCATTCTGAAAATATCTGGAGCTCTGTGCAATTGGCGGAACAAATATGCAAACTGGATCTGCAAATCAGATTAGCCCAAAACCAAAGTAAATAATGTTAAGGTTCACAGCAATGTATGAATGCAGCCAGAGAGGAGGTACTCAACTTTTTGCTCCTGATAAAAATATGAAGAAAGTTTCAGATTACAGATATAGTGATAGCAATTTCTCGTGCCTGCACTTCAGGTTTTGCTGGTCACAAATGAAATACAAGGGATTATAGGCAATCCTTTTTAATTTTTTATTTGAAAACTAAGTGTTCAGAATACTAGGAGCAGTATTCCCACCCTGTGATAGGAAAATTGGGCTGTGGTACTTACTTTCTATGGATAGTTGTAGGGAGGCTGGAAAAGAAATGAGGCCAGACATAAACAACTATAAACATGTCTTTAGCCTAAGACTACAGAAATATGGCAGAAGTCTTCTAAGTTTATTCAAAGAGACTCTGCCTTAATGAACTCCCTATATATGAGGCTGAGGAATTTTAATTACATTTTCCAAGATTCCATATTTACCTCATTAAGAAATCCTAGTGAAATCTGTGTTGCTGTTCTTGCTTCTCTGATTATGCCAAAGTTGGCACATTTGGCATAATGAGGTTTGTTTCATTTTGGCTTTGTGCACTGGATTAATATTTCTCTTATGAATTATAATTTAAGGTTTTGATTGATTATACGCCATGAAGCTGGTATCAACTCTTAGTGACCACTCAATTTTCTCCATTTCCTGATTGCAAAGTAAGTGCAGGAAAGATGTTACCGGTAGGTAGCTGTTAACTGACACAATGTCATTCAGGGAGTATTATGATTCAAAACTGATTTGTATGATGAACTTCTAACTTGCATATAACATTAAAGTTCTGTCAACAAGGCAATATAGCCATGCAAACCTTGGCTGCATATTGTGCAACTGCACAAGGAACATGAACCATAAATTATATTAAATCGGTTGTGGATAAACAAGACGGAAAACAACAACATTAACAATATAGTGCACTTCCTGTTTACTACACCTCCCTCTCTAGAATTCTTAATATGGCCATATATCTATGCGGCCATAGATAATGAGAAAGGATTCAAGTCCTACCTTCCCTGGCGGAAGATGGCTTACCAACTGTTTTTAAGGACATGACCTCAAGATATAACCTCCATCTCCCACTAACTCCCTAGAGGCTGCCTGTAGATGTCTTTTGTTGTCCTGATTTGCAGGTAGGGTTTTCCTTCTACTCCCTAATATACTTTCCTACAGGGACAATCTACAGGCATCATGGAGACAAAACTGGGGATGCCTGCTCAGGAACTGCTCACCTTCAACTGGCCCATCAAGAGTGCTGTGGGAATGCTTCCTTCCCTATCTGACAGTTGGGCACTGCCTTCCATGACCTGTTCGGGGCCATGGCTGTGGGTTAATTGTAGGCCTTGAGAGTTTTACCTTTGCACAACCTTTATCCAACTTTTGTGTTAGCTCTAAGCAATAACCACCCTTACTTTTCCAATTGCCTTTCTCATTAATTTAAGTACTATAAAACACATGTCCTCAGTGACACTAGGAAGAAACAGCACAGAAGTTTAATAAATCATGTTCTTGTTAGACAATATGAACAATATCAGATTTATAATATCTAAACTTCAGCCCCTAAAACATCCCTGGGTCTCCACTGGAATTGGCCAAGAAACTCTGACATGCTCCTGCTTATGCAGGTAAGCTTTGACTTATGACCATAATTGAGTCCAACATTTCTGTTGCTAAGTGAAACATTTGTTAAGTGAATTTGTCCCGTTTTACAAACTTTCTTGCCACAATTAAGTGAATCACTGCAGTTGTTAAGCTAATAACACAGTTGTTAAGTGAATCTTAACAACAGTCTTGGAACGTGCTGGAATTTCTAGCAAGTATACACTATTGAACAAGCGACATCTACACTGGTTTGGGCATGTCGTGAAAATGGCTGATGGTTGGGTTCCAAAAGATCTCTTGTATGGAGAATTAATGCAGGGAAAGTGCCTCAGAGGGAGACCACAGCTGCGATATAAGAATATCTGCAAGAGGGACCTAACAGCCCTGGGAATGGACATAAACAACTGGGAAACCTTGACCTCTGATCGTTCAGCTTGGAGGCTAAGGACACAGCATGGCCTTCTCCAATTTGAAGAGACACTTGTTTGGCAGGCTGAGGCAAAGAGGCAGTCCCGGAACCAGCAAAATCTGGGGGCTGGGCAAGGACAGAATGTATCTGCCCTCAGTGTGGAAGGGATTGCCACTCTCGAATTGGCCTTTTTAGTCACACTAGATGCTGTTTTAGGACCTCTTTCCAGAGCACGATACCATAGTCTTTTAAGACTGAAGGATGCCAATGCCAATCCTAAGTGAATCTGGTTTCCCCATTGACTTTGCTTATAAGAAGATCGCAAAAGGTGATCACATGCTCCCAGGACACTGCAATCCTCATAAATATGAGTCAGTTGCCAAGAGTCTGAATTTTGATCACGTGACCACGGGGATACTGGAACAAAGTGGGAAAAACAGTCATAAATCAATTTTTTTCAGGGCCGTTGCAACTTTCAATGGTCAGTAAGTAAACTGTTGTAAGTTGAGGACCCACCTGTAATGGGACATAAGATAGAAGTACTACAAATTTTCATTCTCTCTCTCTCTCTCTCTCTCTCTCTCTCTCTCTCTCACTCACACTCAAACACACACACACACACAAAAGAGAACAAACCTTCCCAGCTTTCCATCCCCCCTTACCTCAAGTATATGACCATAAAGCCAATGGGGAGGAGGCCCGGCAAAACAGTTCAGAGCTTTCAGCAGCGCCTGTCTTCGGCGATGCAACTGGATAATTTTGATCAGCACGCAGGTCAAGCAAAACACAGCAACCAGGTGCCAAACCCGCGAAAGATCCATCGCAAAATAACGGGGGTGACGCAGGCTCGGGAGGAAGGGCTGCCCGTCCGGTTGACAAAATGGCTTTTTCCAAAGAGAGAAAGCTACGAGGAGCGATGCTCGTTGTGGACTCTTTACGGTCCCGATGAAGCGTTGGCAAAGGAGAAAAAGGATATGGCAACGGTTCCGAAGGCGCAGGCGCTGCTTCCTCTGGAGTCAGAGGAGCTGGAATGTGCGAAAAGGCAAGTTTCAACCTCCAAAGGGCTTACGAAAGAAAAGCTAGGGGCGCAACTTCCAACTTCCATGCAGAGGAGTGTTTTTGCAATGGCAACTAGAAGAGAGGGAAAGCCTCAGGGAGAATTACCTCACCATATTCAACCTTTTCTTCAAAACGAACACGGAGAGAACAGCAGCGGTGAATAATTAAGTTAATGTGGCTAGATCAGTAGAGCCACTTACTTCTGCATCCTTTCTCCCACCCGTTGGTCTATCGGGGCTATGACGCAAAGACCGCAGTCCCTAAACAAGTCTGTAAAACAGTACTTTGAAGTTTTGTTAATATTTATTAATCGCCATGATGAAACAAGGACTCTTGTCCCTTTTTGTTTATCCAATCCCCCCCCCCCCCAGCAAGTTTCACTCACCAATCGAGGATATGCACTTATTTCACTGTTTCATGCTTCCACCCCATCTCCCAGCAAATGGGTTAGGGTGGAGGTTATCAAATAATAGTTAATAGTTTCCTTTACAAATTTATATATCTATGTCGTGATCACAACTACCAGTGGGAAAACTGTTTTGAACATGAGATCTAAACACTAGCGATGGGCAAACAAGAAACAAGTGTAACAATGAATAGCGTTAACAAGAGAGCAGAAGTTATCTGCTCTCTTAGAAGTTATCTCTAATGTAACTGCTAAGGTTAGAAGAATAATATATATTTTGTTGTATCTGATAATCAAAATAAATATGATTTTTTTGTTTACATCAAATAAAAGGGCAACAATAAAGAATGTGTGCTATAGACTCAATTTCCTCAAAAAGTTATGGACATGAATGATCTATCTAGGTGTGCCATTGAATCTCTCTTCCAGAACTCTGGCTATTATAAAAGCACATGTGTATTGGGCATAGGGGTTCTCCAGGTAATGACAGGCATAAAGGTTTAAGATGGTGGATATAGACACACAATCAAACCCTGTTCCCTTTGGGTGTGCCTCATCACATATTTACAAAAGGGCAAGGTTTCAACTGTATAGTTTTGTTCACCGTCTCAACTTTTTTTTTACATTGCCCCCATGCTGCTGGATGGGCATAAAGTATTGGTGAATGAAATTGGGAGACTCCGAAAGCGGTGTGGCTGTACTGGCTGGGAAAATGTCCAGCTCCGACGAGCTTGGCAAAATCCAGCCAGACAAACCGCACCTGGCGGTCTTCGGACCGAAGCTGTCCTGTAGTGACAGTGAAGAAAGAGAGGCAGCTTGGTGTCTAAAGAGGGACAGGCAAGTCCCTTGAATAGCCTGAGAAACTCTCTCCGAGCCGATGACGGGGTGGGGGGGGGGGGGGGAGGCGATCAGAGTGAATCACCATGAAGCTGGAGCCTCTGAGAAATCTGAGGAGGCAAAGACAGAGCTAGAATGCACTGAAGATGAAAAGGAAATGGCTAATGAGAAACAAGAAAGAGAGATGGATAATGAAGAAGACAAAGACAAAGAGACTGACTATGGAAAATTAAACAATTGTAATATTAAGTATGGACAAAAAGAAAAGAAACAAAGAAGGAAGAGAGGGTGGAACAGGAAAAATATAAAAAACTTAATGATTACACTGAGATTTACAGTGGAAAGATAAGAAAGAGACAAAAGAGATGGAAAATAATAAGAAACAAAGGACAAAATAAAGGTTTTATTATTTTAAAATACATAATAAGCATGCTAGGATTAGCAATGAAAAGACACAAAAAAGGAAAGAGAAAGGAGAAACAATGGGAAATATAGGGCAGAATAGGAGAGTGCAGACTTTTAAAATACAAAAGAAAGGAAGAAGAAGAAAACAAAAGGCAAAGAAGGAAAAGAGGGTGGAGGAGAAGAAAAAATATTAAAAACATAAATGATTACACTGGGATTTACAGTGGAAATATAAGAAAGAGTGAAAAGGGATGGGAAATAATGGGAAATTAAGGGCAAAGATTTTATGATTTTAAGATACAAAATATTAATAATGAAAAGATACGAAAAAGGAAAAGTAGAAACAAAGGGGAAACTGTAATAAATGTCACATGTTCAATAATATTGGAGGTTTATAGAATGATAAGTTTTGACAATATGAATAAACTAGTTGGGGGAAATGTAATATTTGGAATATCTTAAACTATATATTTGAAACATAAATAAAAAGAGAAAAGAAGACAAATTAAGAATATTTTAAGAACTAATTGGATTGGGTAAAATGAGAAAGGATTAAGATGTGCTTTATAAATATATATTTGAATAAGTGGAAATATATTGTTAAGAAGTTTTGAGAAATATATTTAATGATTGAAATTAAATGTAAAAGTGAATGATAAAAATGATTTAAATGTTATACTTGCAAGAAGTATAGCAGAAAAAATATATTGGTAAAAGTAAAAAAGATAAGAGATTAGAAAAGTGTTTGAGTAAAGATTTGAAGGAAAAAAAGAGAACAAGATGAAATATATAGTTAATAATTAAAAAGATAAAGGATCGGGCTGCCTGGACTCCACAATGGGAAACATTAAGTTGAAAATGAATACAGCAATAGAGAGAGATGAAGGAATTGGAAGGGAGGAGGAAGGAGAGAGAGGAATGGAAAAGTAGAGAGGAAGGAAGGGAAGGGAAAGTAGAGTAGGAGAGAAGGCAAGACAGGGAGGAAGAGAGGAGGCAAAGGAGAAGGGAAGGGGAAGTAGAGAAGAGAAGAAGAAGATGGGGAAAGTAAGTTGGAAGGAGAAGAGGGAGAGGCTAGGTTTGAGAAAGATTGCTGTACAATAAAAAAAAAGATGAAGTGGAAGAAAGGCAGCTCTGAACAAACAAATATAAATATATTAAGAAAAAGAATGAATTGTTTAAGAATAAAAGAGGATAAATATGTATAAATAGTAAAGTTAGAATTTAGGGATAAATGAAAAAGATGTTTACGTATGCAAGTATAGAAATACTGAGGTATATTCAAAAAAAAGAAAGGGAGGAAGACAATATTGACAAAAATTGTAATTGAGTAAAATGTATTTTAATTTGACTAATTGTATAAAATAAGAAACGACCAACATTCTGTTCAAAAAAGAAAGATGTGGGTGAAGGTGGGAGAGGAGAAAAGAAAAAAACCAATAAAACTTTTTTTTAAAAAAAAAAAAACATGCCTAAACTAAAGGCTTTTTAAAACATATGACTGAAGACTTTTTATAAAGCTAGGACTACGATTTATTATATTTCTGAAAGTTTCCTCATAGCCAATCAGGGACTGATACTTCAGGGAAAATCTGCAGAATTTTAAATATGAGCATGTAATAAATTTATTTTACAAAATTAGAAGAAACTTTGAGGACTTTCAAAATATTTTTTGAGCCAATATCTTAGGTAGCACAGATGGATATGACCCTAAATTGATTTTGTAGCTTTTTGAATTCTTAAATCTTAAATTTGAATTGGTATTCCCACGTGTAACCTTATTTATTGGATATTCTGTTTTAATTTGTCTTTTAACTTTTGTATTCTGTTTCTTTGTGAGCCGCCCTGAGTCCTTCGGGAGAAGGGCGGCATATAAATCAATCAATCAATCAAACAAATAAATAAATAAATAAATAAATAAGGCTCTTTGATGAAGCCAAGCTTTTTCTGAATTTCCAACCATCTTGTCTGGGGAGTTCGGGTGAATTCAGAAGTTTGCAACTACATTGTAAGCCTTTTTTTTGGTCTATTTTCTCTATGCTGTTTTACTTTTTTTCTCTTCCCCCTCTAGTCAGCATGTCTTTTTTCCCCCACTCTAAGTAATTAATGACATTTGAAGCAGAGTAGTTGATCCAACGGCATTTCATCGAGAAGATCTATTCAATCATCTTTGCAAGTAAAGTGTCATTGTAATTTATCCCATTTATCTCTCTCTTAGTCCTGGCCCCTTTAACTGGTTAATTTATTTACACTCCTCGCTGTGGGCGGGTATTAACCGGTTCCCCGGATGTAAATGTCACTAGCCAATGAAAAAAAAGGTTAACATAGCCCAATAGGGAAGAAGGCAGAGGTAAGAAAAACAATCTTTTTATCCAATAGGAGGAGGGGATACTGGTAGGTTCTGGCCCACGAGCAAAACCCTCCAATCGGTGTCTCCGGTGCTAGCAACTAATGGCTCCAACCCGTTGGTCGGCGAGGAGCAAGAGGAAGCGATGTTCTTCCCACGGCCATGGCTGGGGTTCCTGCGGCGGCAGCTAAAGCCGGTGGGAAGAAGAATCGGCCACAACGGCATCGCCGAAGCCTAAGAGATCCGGCCCGGCCCTCTTGAGACGCCCGTCTGGGCGGTGAACGTCGGAAACGCTGAAGCTGGCGAGCCGGGGCCCCGAGTTAGGAGCTCCTCCTGCGTTGCGGAGCTCGGCTCCCCAGAGCCTCGCCCCGGCTCAGCAGAAGAGGATGAAAAAACGCAAGGAGCTGAACGCGCTCATAGGCCTCGGCGGTGGAAACGGCGACCGGGGAAGCGGAAGCGGCGGAGGCGGCCGGCTCAAAAAGAAGCATCCCAGGAAAGGCTCTGCCTCGGGGCATCGGTTGCTCCGCACCGAGTCTGCCGAGAGCATCACCAGCAGTTCCTCTGATCCGGATTACGGGGACAGATTCGGACTGCAGGGCTCCCGCACCCGCTTTTCTAAGTGAGACCCGCATAATCCAGGGAGGAAGGTGGCTGGGAAAGCTGGGATGGATAGGCAGGGTACTGGAACCGAGGATTGTCTGTGGGGATCGGGAGGTTTAGGAATGGGAAGAGATGCGGCGCTTTATGGAGGGGGAAGAGAAGGTTTCAGTTTATACAGGTAGTCCTCGATTTACAACAGTCCACTTAGTGACCGAAGTTACAACTGGCACTGAAAAAAGTGTGACTGATGACCGTCTTTCACCCTTACGACCTTGGCAGCCATCCCCATGGCCACGTGATTTACATTCGAAAGCTTGACAGCTGACTCACATTTATGACGGTTGCAGTGCCCCTGGGATCATGGGATCAACTTTTGCAATCTTCTGAGAAGCAAAGTTGATGGGGGAAAGCCAGATTCACTTAACCAACCGGGTTACTAATTTTAGCAACTGCAGTGATTCACTTAACAGACGTGGCAAGAAAAGTCGTAAAACGAGGCAAAACTCGCTTAACACATTCCTTGCTTAGCAACATAAATTTTGGCCTCAATTGTGGTCGTAGGTTGAGGACTACCTGTAATCGACTCAGAATTTTGTAGTAGCCGAGTTAACAGGTATTGAGAAATAAGGTTGGATTTGGAATGAATATAAATCGGAAAATATAGCAGTTGGAATAGCAATATTATTAACATAGCCTTCAATCTGTTGCTCTGATTTTGTGTTGGATTGTAATTCCATCACTTCAGCTGTTAGCTGCTTTGGATTGATGGTAGTTGTAATCATAGCTCATTTGGAGAACATCAAATTGCTGAGTGCAACTGGAACTGAAAACGATTGCTGCTGAGGTATGACTACAGCAACACAGTGTGGAGAATTAGCCTTTCCTGACATAGTAACTTGGGTGTGTTACTTGTACAACTTATCCCGGTGTTGTTCTTGTGCTCTGCTTAATGATGCAGGTATGGGGAAGAATGATATTGTCATTCTTTCTGCTTGAGTATTGTCAGTTTGCAGAGATTATACTGTTAATTTGATTCCATAATATGATTTTGGTTGCAGTAGTACATAAACATATATCAAAGCATAATCTGGTTTTATTGGCATTTGTTGTACATTTGTTTTTACTTTGTAATGTTTCTACACATATTCCTGTGGGATAAGGTACCTTTTTCTTGTACTTTTGTTTAATGTGTTCAACTTCAAAATTCTATCTCAGGCTTGATGTAGAATAACACTATTTGTTCTTCTTTGAGTTCTATGCATAATTTTATATGCTTCAGTCATATCACCCTTTTTTAAGCCAAAGTATCCCAAATATTGTAGCCTTTTCTTATATAGATGTTTCATATCCTTGATCATTTTGGTTGCTATATTATGCTTTTGCTTTTTGCTTTTTGCTTTTTTTTCTGTGTTATATTTTCCAAGTACTATTACCAGAATTAAACTTAGTATTTCAGATGCAGGACAAGGATAATACAATATTGGCAGTTCTATTTTTATTCCTAATTTTTCATAGCATAGAATTTCATATTTGGTATAGTACAATTATATAGAATTAAAAAGCAGGATTGCTTCCTACATTGAATTTAGTAAGGTATTGGTTTAATGTAATATTTAGCTCTGTTCGCAAATACCAATTTAAAACATTTTTAATGTAGGGGTGACTACCTGCGATGCTGCAAACTCTGCTGCCCGTTATGTACTTTTGTCATCCTGGCTGCTTGTGTGGTGGCCTGTGTTGGATTGGTATGGATGCAAGTTGCTCTCAAAGAAGATCTGGATGGATTAAAGGAAAGATTTAGAACCAGTAAGTTCAAATTTCAAATATTTGCCATCTCTACGGGGAAGAAATTAGCATATAGTTAGCGTTTAGTATGCATTATGGGGCAAAATCATATATTCCCATTTTCTTAAGAATATTTTACCAAAAGCAAAAACAAATATCCTCTGTTTTGTTTTAAATTGATAGAAGGTAGTACTGTATGTTTAGGCAAACTTTCTTCTTTATAGAACATAATGCTGTATAAAGCAAGTAAAGAATGAATGGATGCTCATTTCAGAGACCAGGAATATTTTATATTTTCAAAATTCGGAACAGCTCTCTATTACAGAAATAGCTGCATCTGTCTTGGTTATAATAGACAACCTCTGCACCAGGGAGACCCTAATTGCTGTCCTGTCCTACATTCTAATGTTGATATGGACACTGCAGATTTTATATTTCAGTACAGGTAGTCCCTGACATACAACCACAACTGAGCCCAAAATTTTTGCTGTTAACTGAGATTTTTTCTGTTAAGTTAATTTAACCCTGTTTTATGACCTTTCTTGCCTCAGTTATTAAGTGAATCATTGCAGTTGATAAGTTGATCACCTGGTTGTTAAGTAAATCTGGCTTCTCCATTGACTTTGCTTGTCAGAACATCTCAAAAGGTGATCACATGATCTTGGGACACAGCAACAGTTATAAATATTGCCAAGCATCTGAATTTTGATCACATGATGAGGTTGCTGGAAAGGTCGTAACTCTGATAAATTATCATGTCACTTTTTCAGTGCTGTTGTAACTTTGGACAGTCAGTAAATGAACTGTTGTAAGTCAAGGACTATCTGTATTGTCAATTTTTTCTTCTTCACCCTCCACTTCTGGGTCTTAAAATATTTCTTGATGAAGATATTAAAAGCTTGTGCTTTTTTTTGACCTTTGGGTTGATGTAATTAACATCTTTTATGATTGGATTTTGAAATTAAGAAGCAAAGAATGAAAAGGACCTTGGAGTAGTCCACCTCCCTGCCCAGTAAAGGAATGTACTATTACAAAATCTGTGATTGGTGGCCATCTGTTCTCTGCTTAAGTAGCTCCAGCCAATGAGAATCACCTAAAGCAGTTTATTCAATTGTTGAACTGCTATTGGAATCTTAGTAATGTCATTTATATTTAAGAAAACAATGTTTCTTCATGTAGGGAGTTGGTGAGTTATATCATACTTAATCATAAGAATTTAATAGCATGAACAAAAATGTTTTTGTTTGCTAATGCTAGTATTTCTGATTAATGGCATGATTAACAGATCTTCCATTTGTGGGTTCCTTTATTATTAATACATCTACATGTAAATGTTTTTTGCGAAACTGCAGAAAATAGAGTCTTAAGCATATAGAAAAACAGCACATGCTTATTAAACATAATTAAATATTTTGTGGTCAATTTTAAGGCATGCTTATGACAATTTGATTGCAATCTCTAATAAAAGTTAAAATGTTTGATCCTAAAAGCTTATTGATTTGCTAGTTTACAACGGCTTGCTTCTATTATCGGTGTATTGGATTTCAACTTCATTATTACTAGTGAACACCGAATTATATGTCATCAGTTATGGATTAGAAAGATTAGATTAGATAAGTGTATTGGCATAGATACTTACAGTATATACTACTGAACCTCTGATTGTCATGACCTTTAACTGAGCAAAAGCGTGCATCATGCAGCAACAATTTTTGAACTAAAAGTGTACCTCAAATGAACTAATTTACAAAATCCAGGACCAGTGACTCTCAAGGGAATGAAATTTGGGAAAGATGTAGCTGCTTCTGGCGGTGCTTCACTCTTGCTGTGGTCACATGATCTTCATTTTCACTGCTGTGAGGGCTTCCCAACCAATCTAACAATTCCTTAACCCCTCTCCCATCCAGCAGCTGGAAAAGAAGGGAGCAGAAATGGAGGAACAAATCCCCCAGCCCATGCTCTGCCTCTGTCCTTCCCTGATCTGCATCCTTCCCCCCCACCCGTTTCTTCTCTTGACTGGTATTACCTTCCCTGACCCATACAGCACCTCTTTCATGCACACCCCTGCACCACTGCCTGGTGAGAGGGAGAGAAAAACTTTCTGCTGGCTTCTCTGCTAACTTCTTCCTGCAAGTGTACCAAAAGCAAAGTAAATGGAGAAGGAGGGAAGGGAGGAAGGAAGGTTATCTGATGCTACCTACCAACTTCCCACATGGAAACTCGATGGGGAAACAGGCAGGAAGTCAGAAGTTGCTCCCACTCCACAATTGTTTTTCCCACCTATGGTCTTTGTTTAGATAAGGACATATCTTTGAAAGGATGACCCAATAGGGCATGGGGTGTCTTGTGTTTTACTGTTTTATGAAAAATGAGTACAATAAATGCACTGGGAAATGTACTTGAGACCTGGAAGAAAATGTTTGTTGTTTATTTGAATTATACTCTGTTTTTCTACTCTAGCAAGTTTTAAGTCTCAAATTAATATAATAATTAACTAGAGATAATGTTTCTAAATCCAAGACAGCAGAGACCAAATGCAATTCCCATAATTTGGGAACAGTGCAGGAGAACAGGCTCTTCTGCATATTATGGTAATGATAATGGGCTTCTAAAGCTGGGAATATCTCCAAAAGAACTTAGGCATATTCATAATGAGAGTCATAGCCTCTTCGATATTAAGAATTAGAGCTTGAAAGAAATTATGTTCATGTTTTCAGATTCATTAAGTATTTAATTTTCTATTTTAGTGGAATCTAATCAAAAAACTTCATTTCAAGAAATTCCCAGAATGACTGAAGACCTCCTTAACAAAGAAAAGGAATTGGAAAAAATTAAGAATGGAGATTTGGGGATAAACAAAATATGGATAAACATCACTGAAATAAACAAACAGGTAAAGTGAGCAAAGCATTTGTTCAAGTAAAGTTGTATCAAAAATAGATTGTATAAAAATACAATAGTTGTATAAAAATAAATAATATGCAGTATATAGGTCCTCAATGGAAGGCAGATTGATAGCAATTGTTTTTTCTGCAGTTCTAATTATCCGTTGAAGTCTATGTTTGTCTTGATTGGTTGCAGTGCCAAACCAGACAGTTATAGAGGTGCAGATGACAGACTCAATAATTCCTCTGTAAAACTGTATCAGCAGCACCTTGGGCAGCATTTTGTAATTCAGGTTTGTTCCTTTGAGTCAGTCTTCAGTCCTGGTAACTCAACAGTAACACATTCATAACATGGTTTTAGGATGAACCTTTACAACAGAAAAGATTAAAAAAAACCTGTCCTGTAAAGTCATTCTTTCATTTGTGATTACAGATATCTTTGTTGATGTTGGCAGTAAATCATCTCAAAGCAAATATGAAATCTGCTTCTGATTTAATTAATCTTCCTGTTACAGTGGAAGAGCTTCAGAAAGTATGTATTATATTTAATACTAATCTATCTTTAGAATTTTTGTGCTTTAGATAATTTGACAAGTACAGAGCTTTTCATTGTGTCCTTCCTTTCTAATAGGAACTATATTTTATTACGTTTTAATCCCTCTTTATTTTTAAATGTATGAAGAAAACAAAAACATATTTGTAAAACTATTGAAATCCAAGAGTTTTCCAGTTTATGTGACTAGATCATGACTAGACAAATCACTTGTAGGAAGAATATAGGGGACAATTAGTAGTGGTGATTTCAGTGTCTTTGCAGTATTGAGGCATACTAGTAAAACTGGGCATAAGTAATGTATTCAGAATTGTTGTCCTTATATGTTTACAGCCAATATTATGTTGGCTTACCTGGAAATAAGTTCCTTTTTCTATATGTAAGCTAAGTGCAATACTATGGACAGGTTGTATTTCCAGCACTTTATATATTTTTCCTATAAAGAAAGTAATTTTCATCATACTTTGTGATCTGATAATAGAACTGATAATACTAGAGGTTTGTGTTTTTAAACATATCTGTTTGCATGTTTTTCTCCAAATATAACAAGTTTATCGTAGGATGTATCTTTTCTTGCATATCCAAGCATGTAGAATGCTGATGCAGTTGGAACCTTCGTGTGTATATGGCAATATAAATTATGTTGTCTGGTTGTGTGTATACACTACAACATATACTTTATATAAGCTTTGATGTGGATTTCAATGGAGCAATACAAAGTGACTAATTTTTTCCATGACCTCATTCCATATTTTTCAAATGTGATATAAGTTCCCAGTTAAATATATCCAAGAAAATAAGTTGTTATTCATACTGCAATAAATGAGATTTGTTAATGTACATTCTTTGTATTTAATGTAACCAATTAAAATAATTCCTCATTGGAGTAAACACATTTGAATTTCAATTAGTTGATCAATGAATGTCTGATGCTAAAAAATTTGCTGTTGGTTTTTTTCCTAGAGTGTCGCTACTATAGGTAGCACAGTAACTAGTGTTCATCATGATGTTGAGGCCATGCAAGCAGCAATTGAAGAGCAAAAGAAGACTCTAGAAACTCTCCAAAAAGAAATAGTAAGGATGTATAGACTTTTCACAAGAGTACATTCTGTAGCACATCCTATAAGAATTTCAGATTTGGTATGCAATTTAAAAATAAAAGTGGCTGAGGCTCTTCCCCCCCCCCATTTTCTTATTTAAAACCCAGTGGTGGGTTGCCCCCGGTTCGCACCGGTTCTATAGAACCGGTAGTAAAACCGGCAGGAGGCTCCGCCCACTGACCCTGACATCATCAAAATGCTTCTGTGCATGCGCGAGCAGCCCCGTTGCGAACCGGTAGTAAAGGTAAGTAGAATCCACTCCTGTTAAAACCCCCTATGGATTTATTAAGAGAAAATGATGTTTATTGTTTACCATTTTAAGTGGAATATATTTTATGTTCTTATAGGTTTGTTAAACTTTATCAGGTCTTAAAATCAATTTAAATTTATAAACTTTATATAAGCAGATTTGTAGATATTGACTGTTTATCCAGATGGAAACATTTTAATATTAACATCACATTTTAGGCAGTTAGTTAGACACTTCACTTTTCTAGCTATAACTCTGCTTCATATTCTTCCTGCATAAAAACCTTAAATTCAAATTTAATGTCAAGTAAAGCAAATGCCAGTATTTTATGGCTGCTCTCAAAAGGTTTACTGTCTTCCCTTTGCTTTCTTCTCCTTCAGTTATTTACGGAATGTATATAAGAGTTATGCTTGATGGGTTATGAATATTCTAATAATAATTGGTTTGAACACATATCTTAATATATTTCAGAATGAACACACAGAAGATGTTAGACAAAAGCATTTACCTTCCTTTTCCTCCTCTTCTGTCCCCCAGATAAATGAAAAGAATATGACGAACATTTGTAAACAGGTGCTGCTTTTTTGCTTTTAAAAGCTTTGGAAATCACGGTTTCAAAACTGTTATGTAAAAATATAGCCAGGATAGCTTTGCATTGTTATATTCCTTAGTATTATTTTTGGAACACAAATGCTGATATTTATACTGTCTCTAGAATGAAAAGAATAAGTAGTCAAGAAGCTATTGCTGTTGCTTCAAATGCATCTATCATATAATCGTTGAGAGTAGTTGCAATATGATAGAGACTTAGGTATCGCATCCACAATAGAAAAAAGATGCAGTTTCTATAAAACAATTATTCAGTGTTTAAACACTCCCAAGTATCTGACTGTTACTGAATTGGTCCTGTTATCTTCCTATTAGTCACCTGGCATAGGTGGAGTAATTTAGAATTCTTTATTGGCCAAATGTGATTAAACACACAAGGAATTTGTCCCTGGTGCATAAGTCCTCAACAATAGTGACAGATCATTATCATAGTCATTGTAATAATACATTCATCATAAAACATTAGATACAACACTTAGTGATAGTCATGGATACTAAATAAGCAATCAACATAAATCATACTGGGATACTAAGTAAACAATATAAATTGTAAGATATAAGCAACAAAGTTATAGTCCTAAGAAGATAAGGAGATAGATAACAGGGAAGATGAGAATAATGATGACCTTTCTAGCTAGTTTGACAGTGTTGTGGTAGTTAGTTGTTTAGCAGAGGAATAGCATGGGGGGGTGTATGTGGAACTGTCCTTGTGTCTAGTTGTTCTGACGTGGAGTACCCTATAGAGTCGTTTTGAGGGTAGAAGTTGAAACAGTTTATGTCTAGGATGTGAGAGGGGAGGGTCTGTAGATATTTTCACAGCCCTTTTTCTGCTCATGCAGTATACAGGCCCCCAATGGAAGGCATATTGGTAGCAATTGTTTTTTCTGCAGTTCTAATTTAAATTTAATAATTTAAATCCCAACATATTATGAAAGTATGTTCATAAAACTTCAATGGCATTCTAATACTTTCATGATTGTGCAGAATCCATAACAGCCACTGAAATTGGCCTGCATCAGAGAAGAGGTACATGAGATAACATCTAATTCTGCTTCTGTCTTTGACTTGCAATTGAGCACACTTCCATTGCTAAGCATGACAGTTAAGTGAGCTTTGCCCCATTTTACGACTTTCTTGCCACAGTTGTTAAGTGAATCACTGTGTTTGTTAAATTAGTAACATGGTTGTTAAGTGAATCTGGCTTCCCCATTGACATTGCTTCTCAGAAGATTGCAAAAGGTAGTCACATGACCCTAGGACACTGCAACCGTCATAAATATATGCCAGTTGCCAAGGGTCTGGATTTTGATCATGTGACCATGGGGATGCCACAAGGTCGTAAGTGTGAAGGACAGTCATAAATCATTTTTTTCTGGTACCACTGTAACTTTCAACAATCACTAAACGGTGGTTGTAACTCGAGGGCTAATTGCATATTCCTTTGGTATACAGTTTGTTTTGTTGAACTTGAAAAGGCTACAGAGAATAGTTTATGGTGTACTGGATTCATTAAGATTATGTTGTTCTTATTTTCAATAATTTTGTTGCGCTGCTTTTATAGTCAAGTAATCAGATTGTTTTTCTGTTAAACAGGATAACCAATATCTAGATATCTCTATAGAGGAAATGAACTCTACCCTAATGTTACATCAGAAACTGAATGATTTAAAATTTTTCAATCTGGATTCCACAGTCACCAATCTAAGCTGGAAAATTACTTCCTTAGAAAATCACATGTTCGTTCTGAACAAACCGGAAAAGAGAAAGAACCTTACCTTTGGTATGGTAAGTGTTTAACAATTTTGGGAATTAAACACTTGCAATATGTTATGATGCATAATAGTAAGGCACAAGCAAACACATGCATTATTGTCTCTTGCAGGTGAGTAACCTAACTACCTCGGTAAATATGGAAAGTGAATCAAGAAATGAAACTACTGCTGAAAAAGTAGAAAATATGGAGGTAAGTTTTAGAGAACCATTGTGAAGGTAATTTTTTAGAGCCCCCTTGAATTGTGTTCCTGACTTTGAGGGTAAGAAGGGCAAGGTAACCAACTCAAGTGAAATGACAGAACAATTGAAGTTCATAGCCCAAATATATACATTTTTCTCCATTCACATTTTGTAAAAACAAAAGTCCCAGGGGAGCTGAAATGTTGAAAAGATTATATTGGTTCAGCCTTGAAAAAAAAAAAAAGGATAAACTATATTGCGGTACATTTACAGTGCTGTGTGCCTACAAAAATTACACACACGCTTTTAGTTTCTTTATAAATCTACCCACAGAGAAGAAATTCCATTACTGTATTAAAAACAAAATGGAAACAAGTAAAATGATACCTTAGCTTTTACAGTGGTTGATATTAAATCTGTAACTGCTCCAAAGCTGACAAAGCACAATATGTAGGTTTGTTTGTTTACCCATGTTGAGTTCTGTTTAACTGAAAAGTGTACAAGGCTCTTGAAAATGGGTCCTTGTGTCTTCTCTATCTACATAGAGAAGCTACAAAGCATTTTTATTTCAAACATTTTAGAACTTTAATTATATGGTCACCAATTGATTGAAGTGAGTTTGTTGTTATTAAATGCTGAAAGTATATATACTTCTTAAAAATACTTAAAAATATCATAAAATATTACTCTATGGGGCATTAGAATATCACTTCAACTTTCCTCTTTGTTCAAAACCTTAGATATAATATCTTGATGCAAAGAAAAATGTGCTTTTAAAGGACATACCGCAAGGCAAAATATACTCAAAAAAACTTTCTCCAAAAAATCAACTTCCTGTTCCTAAGGATAATTCTCATGCTGCAAAACTATTCAGGTTATTTTATGTTGTAGCTAAAGACTAATGAAAGTAATTAACAAATCCAGGGTTTAGTCACATTTTAAGAATATGAGAAACTATAGAGTAACATTACAGCAGAGATTTACACCACAGAATTTTTAGCTTTAAGATTTGAGGAGAGAATGCTAATTTTACCAATAAAATGGGCTTTACTGTGTATTTATGTCAATCATAGATTGATAAATTCAGTATACAATCATGTAAGAGAAGTACAGGAGAGAGATGTTTTAATTTAGTTTATTCAACTTATAGATAGAAGTATGACTAGGTACGACAATACCTGAAATTAGTTATTCTTCATAGGAATTAAGATAAAATTCCTGCTGGGTTTTAACATTGCCAATTCCCTTTTCAATGTAGATAGTTCTGAAACCATCAAAATTATAGTATTTGCAATTACAATATTCTCATAGAAAAAAAGATACATAAATATACTTGCTAGAAACGTATAAACTACCCAGTATATTTTGTATTAAGTGCAATCAAAGTAGAACAAACAGGGCTTCTTTAGAGTTTTTTTTTTAATTGGTAATCTACAGAAAATAGAAAATGGAGAATCTCAGGTATCCAAACTAAGAGAAAAGCTGCAGTTGATTAATGCTCTGTCAAGCAAATCAGATAGTGAACGATCTGAAGCACTTAAAGGTAAACATCTCATATACATGTCATTTTGTGTATTGCATTAGACTATCCAGCTAAATTCATTTTATGATGCTTTAATTACTGACTTACTTTAACAAATTGTTATCTGTTTCCCAATGCATACCTGAAGGCATGGAGATCTATTTACTGGCTAGCATTTGAATTCAAGCTTCTGAACTAAACCTTTCAGTTGTCATATTTCATAGAATTGAACATCATTTTCAGCATTTATATGTTTGTCAGTTTCCACTTGGGACCACCCTTGAAGACCATTTGGAAGCTAGTGGTAGTAGAATGCAACTGACCGGTGCTGCCTAGTGTAATCACATTACACATTTCCACATGATCTGTATTGATGGCTACTTGGTTTACAGGTGCTTATTATCACCTTTAACATCCTATATCCGTGATGGCAAACCTATGGCATGCGTGCCACGGGTGGCACATGGAGCCATATCTGTGGGCACGCGAGCATTGCCCTAGCTCAGCTCCAGCGCGCATTCGTGTGCCGGCCATCTGATTTTTGGGCCTTGCGGTCCCACCAGAAGTCAGGAAATGGACCATTTCCAGCCTTTGGAGGGCCTCCGGGGGAATGGGGAAGGCTGTTTTTGCCCTCCCCAGGCTCCAAGAAAGCCTCTGGAGCCTGAGGAGAGGGAAAAACGGGCCTACTGGGCCCACCGGTAACCTTTTTGCCATTGGGTGCCAAAAGTGGAGGGAAGGGGGGGTCGCGTGTGCATGCACATGGGGGCATTGAATTATAGGTGTGGGCACACGCATGCATGACCCCCCCACGCTCCCCCCATTTTTGGCACATGACAGCAAAAAGGTTAGCCATCACTGTCCTATATGGTTTGGAGTTGGATTTCTTAAAAGAGTATCTACTCCAGATGGAGTCTAGGTCCCCTAAGGTAGATCTACTGAGAGTTCCCATTTATCATGAGCTACAATTCTATATCCATTTACAGTGGATATAGAAAGTCTACACACCCCTGTTAAAATGCCAGGTTTTTGAGATGTAAAAAAATCAGATCAAGATTAATCACTTCAGAGTTTTTTCCAACTTTAATCTAACATATAAACTGTACAATTCAATTGAAAAAGAAACTGAAATTGATGATTTGATTAAAAAAATAAGTAATAGTTCTGGTCTTTAAATTTCCAGAAGGCAGTTATACTATAAGTTTATTATTTACTTTAGTATGAGTAGAAGTAGAATACATTTGAAGTAGATACATTTGAAATCTGATAAGATTGCTTGTGACTGCTTTATACCATCTAAACAAAGTCCCCCTCCCCCCACCTTGATGCATAATATTTGCTATTATCAAATAAGAAAAAGAAATGACTACTGTAAAATTACTTGACAGTAGAAAATTCACAGAGCATCACATCAGAGCCTACAAAACTTCCAAGAATTTCTTCAAGATCACTTGGCAATAATGTTGAGGGAAGTCGACACCCAAGAAGCTTGTCCTTACCTGGAATATCCAAAATAGAAGGTAAAGTTGAGGTTTTTAGACATGGAAAAAGAACCCATGTTTTGTGTGCAAAGGATTCTAGAAATTAATACATTTGGATCTATAGATGTCAAAGAGTTGTCTTTACAAATTTAAATTGGGAGTCTACATTTAGAAATGGCAAAATGAATGAATATATAAGGATTTATTTATGATGGTAAATATTTGATTGTGTATATCTCTTTGAGATGGGATAAATGGCTGCTAATTTCATGTGGAATGAGCAGGGTTGGGATTACAGAGAGATACTTAATCCCATCATCAGTTCATCTGTCTCTTTGAAATTACTGTTAGTCATTATAGCTTCAGAAAATGTTCGTTTAGATCATGTTAGCAAAAAGGGTGAGTCTGCTTTTGCAGGATCCCCATGTCCTAATTATCTCTTGATTTTCTTAAATATCTTTTATTGGGTTCTTGCCATGGGTTATCCAATTGAAAATATTAAAGTAACAAAAAAGAAATATTCTTTTTTACGTGGCTTTAACGTGGCTATAATGTATAAAAATAATATAAAATGGGTTGTTATACTACAGTCTACTCTGAATACTTGAAGTAGATAATCAGCTATATTGAGACACTTGGCATACATTAATATTTAGCCATTATCTCTTTCCAAATGTTTAGTGTTGCTTTTGCTAGTTTAATGCATATGTATGGCATATCATTATTGTTTTGGGGTCAGCTCAGACATAATGATTTTCCATAGTTTAGTAAACTGAAAACGAGGTTGCATTCTAATTTCATATCATTTCTTTTTCCATTACAAAGCAATATTGACCTTTTTTTTGGTGGTTTTAATAAACCATGATAGTTTTATACATCCCAGACATAATGAAAGTAGCCTTTGTTTAGTAAGTGTACACTAAACTGCATTTTCTGAATTGCAGATGAATGAGCAACTCTAATTAAATAATCCATGATAGAAATATCAGTGCTGACAGTAAGGAGACTGAGTTTGAGAGACATGACACTATTATTGGCACAATAAAGTTATTTCTTAAGCACAGTTTTAACTGACTTGTGCAGATCACAGATGTTTGGGGTGATTGAATTCAGGAGAGACCTTGAACAGTTTTTTATGATTTTTTTTTTTTTGTCCTTGCAGATCTTCAAAATTTATTCAGGACTTCTAGCCAAGGCACTAATGACAAGTTATCATATGAGGACCTGGAAAATCTGGTTGAATCTATAGTGGATGATCCACAGAGTTTTCAGGAATTTGATGAAGATGGAGATGGAAGATATTCTATATCAGAACTGAAAGTAGCATTGGGTCTATAGTATCTTTTCTTATAAACACAGTATTGAAGGACTACAGAAGCTATTGTTTTTTTTTTAAACCAACTGATTAAGTAAAAACTACTTATAGCACTTTTCCCAGTGATCTACTAGTTCCGTGATAGCGAACCTGTGGCATGCGTGCCCGAAGTGGCACACAGAGCCATGTTGCCTGGCATGCACTGCATTGCTGCTTCTCGATTTCTGGCGCACATCTGCACGCGATGATCAGCTGGCTTTGTGTGTGCAACAGTGCCGGAAACTGGAAGAGCTGGTCTTCCATTTTCCGGCATGAGCATGCATGCTGGCCAGCTGATCGGCACATGCACATGTGTGGCAGTAACCGGAAGACTTGCATGCGCACCGGAAACCAGAAGTACTTTATCCGGCGCGCGCATGCCCCCTAGGCAGCTCCTCTTCCTGGTTGTGGCCCTGACGAGCGAAGTGCTCCCTTTTTGGCACTCAGTCCTGAAAAGGTTCGCCATCACTGTACTAGTCTTTGAAGTTAATTTAGTGCAGGGGTCAGCAACCTGCGGCACCGGAGCCGCATGTATCTCTTTCATCCTTCTGCTGCGGCTCCCTGTTGCTGGTCGGCTCCAGAATTGATAGGCCTTTTGTTTAGGACAGGTAGAGGAAAAAGGATGCCATGCTAGGAGGAGACTATGGTGGGGGAACTGGACTTCCAGTCGGCAGAGGAAAAAGGACGCTGCACTAGGAGGAGACTGTGATGGGGGAACCGGACTTCCGGTTGGCTCCAGAATTGAACGGGGGCTTCCTGTTGGGACCTTTGTGGGTCTTTGAGTGTTTAAGGTTGCCGATCCCTGATTTAATGTAACAATTGACACCTTTTAAATTTTCTGTTCTTTGGAAAACAGTGAAAAGCTTTTATATTTTTATCTGTTGTAACATAAGATATGTTGACCCCTGAAAGTTTTTCCAACTTTTGAGGCCCTGATCCAGGGGTAAATAGCCATGCCTAAGTCTGTTTATGCAAATAGGGCCTATTAATAGCAAATACATTATTGCATTGGTTTGGATTCCCACAGAACTAGGGACATTTTATTTGTCCTGGATCACAGCCCCAGGATTGCATTGCATTGAATTGAATAGTTGTAATGAAAATGATAATTGCACCTTATGACGAAGAATTTTATCTCAGAGTTCTTATTTCCCTTATAAGGGAAGCTCATCTTCAAGTTAAAATATGTGTATATATTGACAAACTTGATTTTATATTTCAAATTTGCCTTAAATTAGCTGCACTTTAGAATAAAATATAAAAATCTGATTTGCAGGATGGGATTCTTCCGTTTGTAAATATTTAAACTAGAATAACTTATACATATTTGGGTCTAATTTTCATCAAAAGTAATCAATGTTCCAGTTTGTATTAAGTAAAAGTCGACAATAGAAAACATTTCTTCTTCCTAGGAATTACACTTGTATGACACTCCTTTCCTATATTTGTTTGTGAATCACTGGAAAGTTTTGTGCTATTCAAGGACTAATTTTTATGCCAGACTCTAAAGGAGACTTCAGTTCTTGAAATTGAGATAAAAAGACATTCTGAGAAACTGGTCGTAAGAATAATATTTTTTTCTGATTTTAAACAGATCACAGATTCATTGTTATTTTCAGTTATAATAATTTTATGAAGAAGGATTCCTGCTGGAAACACTGCAATATTTACTTCAGTTTTTCCTCATTGTATTGGTGATACTTTATTCAATTAACCTTCCCCAATTTAAAAAAGAATAAAAAATGGTGTTAATGGTTAGCATAGTTAATATTATCAGTAATTAGGATACTCTCAGAGAAGAATGAGGTGATAAGGACATAATTATATTTTGTACTAAGTACATCTTTGTGTTTTCGCTCTGTAGTTGGCTGATTTATTTTAACATTAATTCCAATGTGAGGTTCAACTGGATTGAGATTGTGGCATGGATGTGCTATTTTCTCCACATTATAATTAAATCTCCTGCTTCTTAAATTGCAGTTTGAGAAAGATTTCCACTAGGAGTACAGCATCTTCCTATGTACTATGGCCTATCAAGATTAGTAAGCTTTTGCCTTATTAAAAAAAAACATGTGTTTGTGAATGTGAAGTCACTTATGGTGATGTGGCATGAGCTATAAACTTGGAAATTCAAAGCATTTTAAGCTGCTGTATTTTATTTTATTTTATTGTTATTGAAAACATCAGATGTTATCAGGCAAACAAATGGTAGGATTTTGTTTAGTAAATAACCTCATATAAACATTATTCTCTATACAAACCAAACACAGCAAGGTTTTCTAATGTGCCACTATTACTGTAAAGCTATTTTAAAAGGATATGTCGAGTAGAATGCTGTCATAGTTGTTGGCTTTCTTTACAGTTTTTAGTTTTTAGCAAATTTAAGTTCTCAGGAATCTCCATTGCCCATCACAAAATTCAGGCTTCTTGGGAGAATAATGGCACTGGTTTCTATCAAAGTACTGAGCACTGGTGTACTAGAATATGATGTAAACAGATGCCTTCCAAAAATTTAATGAACAGTTTTTTGAAAACCAGATTCCCTTATCTAGATAATTATCCAGAATGCATATTGTTTCCTTAAGTTTATATGTTAGCTATACCCATTAAAGCTCAAAATTCATATTGCAAGGTAACTGAACACCAGTATTCTTTTGGATAAAATTAGTTTTATATGCTTTGTGTATAAAAACTATTGACCAAATAAAGCAATAACAATTAAATATAGCAGTATTTGTATGTGTGTATGTCATACGATTGTATAGCAAAATATTGAAGGTATTTTTTAAAGGTGGCTTGTTATGATCCATATGAAAAGAATGACTTTTAATCTCAGTATTAAGTTAATTATCATGAGCACTTTTAGGAATTGTTTTTAGATACATTTTTATTGTAAGAGAAATCTCACTCCAAAATTTTTGATCCAATTTAGAAGCTGAAGTCATAGTCTTCAATAACTCAATACCGTATTGTAAGAGAAATATGTATTTGAAATCTATCCTACATTAAAGGAATGCTTTCAGTAGAAAAAATTACCTAAGGTTAATTCATACTTTGTTATAGAGCAGGAAGGAAGGTATAAATTATCACTTGAATACCAGCATTTCCTCACGTGTGTATGTCACCACTGAGAAATAAGGCATTCATATTAGGCAGATTTAGGGACATGAAGTGATAAAATGTCTAAACTCTGAAGTGCAAAAGCTTGCAAATTTTCCCTATTTGCAAGCCTTTTAGAAAGCTAACTCTTCATATAAAATCTTGAAGTAATTCTATCTTTCTATTTTTGAATATCATTAGAGCCTTCAAAATGCATTGTTTGTCTTATTAAGTATTTCTTCTAATTTGCAATATTTGTGCATTTAGAAGTAAATTTATGCATATTATCAAGAAAACAAAATAAATATGGCAAACAGAGAACTATAAATTGGCTCAAATAAGCACATTCTTTGAAATTATTTCAGGTTAATTAACAATGTGCGCAACAGCTATACAGCAGAATTGATTTGAAACTGAATATGTAGCATTCTTCCCAGAGCTGAGCCTGCCTTTTTAGGGAAGATTATGTAAGGAAGAGTAATGGGAATTAGCTAAACCGCTGGTCAAAATCCTAGCATTTCCCCCATTTTACCTTCATCATCCTTAAGGTATAATACTCTTCTGAACTGATGCCACAAGTCATATCATGTCTGTCTATCAGCCATGCTGAGTAGGATAGCTAGAAGCGGTAACATATTTTAGAAAAACACAAGATTTGGAAATGTTCATGTGGATATTAATCTACAGGTTTTTTTCCAGTGTTCATCTTCATAGGTGCCCATGAAATGGATTCATCTATTTAGATTGGTAATAACAAAAGGTTTCAAATGAATATTGGATTTATTGAAATGCTTCCAATGAATATATTATTTTTAAAAATTAGATTATCCAGGTATTTCACACAACAATAGAATCCCTTGATAAAATTAGGGACATTTAGAATAGAAAGAATAGGGACAGGGTAACATAACAGTGGAATGTATTGTATCTTTTGTGATTGCACAAAAAATTCTAGTGGCACTTAAAAAGTAAAAATTACTTTATTGCAGATTGTTTTTTTGTTCAGATAATCATATGAAAAGAATTAATAAAATTAAGATTTATAGAAAAGGGTAGTTTATTTGTATGGAGAACCGTAACATTGTAAAGGGAAAAATTCTTAAGGGTTTTGAAAGATCAAAACCTGTTTCTCTTGTATGAGAGTGTTGGCTGTACTTAAAAGTGGTACTGCTTTTTATGCTATTTTAAAAAAAAGAGTCTTGATTTTATATCTCCAGAGTGAAAATTATGTCATTTTGAATATGAATAATTAATCCGACCTTTAAAATGTTAAAACAATTTTGTGCTATGAATCATAGTGTTCATCTATGGAATTTGTTCTTTAGGATTTGTATTGGAATCCACTGCACTGAAAGTACACTGGTTTTACATTGTATAAAAGCAATTGATTTGCATTGTCCTACTTAAACTAATTGAAATGGTTTATAAAATTGGGCCTCACAAATGTGCAAAAGCTCTAATGGAGTGGATGAAAGCTGGATTTAGCTATTGCATTTTGCACCTATTATGCATTGTGAATGTCAAATCTAAATAAAATAGTTTGTTTTGGGTCTGATGGTTATTTTATTTCATCTAGAAAAATACGTTATAGGATAAACTGAAGCATTCAGCTTTCTCTATTGTTGAAAATGTGGTTCACTTGAAAAAATCCTATTGTGTCCGTGGGAATAGCATAGTACATGATAAACTGTTTTGCAAAAACAGCTGCTGTTCCCATATTACCTCTTGTACTGGAAAAAATAAGTTGCTCCAGATATTCACTGAGATGGGCCATGATTTGTACTATATTTTACTTTCAGTTTTAAAAGGCTGCACTATGAGTACCATTTGCTAGCCATAGCTAATTTCACTAATGAAACGTGAGACACTTGGGACTAAACAACGTCTGCTGGTTTTAATTATAAAGACTTCCATACCATTTGCCTTTTGATATATCTGGATATTGCTCCTATATATTAAAAGGTAATTTGTTACTGAAATTAAAAATAGAAATATGGCCGTGTAATATTCAGCTCTTTGGGCAATTGGGATGAAATGCAGATTTAGAAATCTTGGAAGAAACATATACTTCAGTTTCATGATATATGAAAGGATTCTGAACACAATTTAATTTCTAAAGAAATTAATTTCTTTCTACACTAGCTGTTGAAGGCAGATTGTCTTCCCAATATTAAAATGCTTGAATGAAAATGGAAATAGTTTGAAATTGATCTTTAATTGAGTTCTAACTGAGACCACTTAAGAATATTCCCATCCATGACATGGACTGCTAAGCAGAAATCCTGCTACCAATACTGTATGGATCGTTTTTCAAGATGGTTGGTTTTAGAGGTGAGCTGAATGGTGAACTTTCTGTTGGAATGGCAGAGCAAGGGTAAGAAGCTGAATGCGCAAGCAGCGGTGGCAAGTGAGAGAGTGCACAAACACACGCAACTTCTTGAAATATCGGTTTGTATGGAGCTGAATCGGGAAATGGAGGGGTAGAATTGTCATTGCTCTCCACAATATTCTCACTGGGCAAGTGCAGGCTTTGTGGCTCTGGGATGTGATCGGGACTGCAGATGGCTGCATTTGTTCTAGGCTGGGCTTCCTCATCAGCCCCGTGAGCCAATGCATGTTGAAAATAAGACTCTGCTTTCAATTGTTTCATCCAGACTTTTGCACGGCGCTTCTGAAGGATTTGTTTTCGCCATTGAAGGAGCAGCATACATGTGAACACCAAGATGTAGCAAAAAGCTAGGCTTCCAAAATACACGGGCAGCAAACCTGTAAATAGGTCATAAAGTAAAATTCAGAAGAGAATTTGGTTACATATGTCATTTGAATGTTACTATTACGGCAGGAAGTTGTGAAACGCTTTCAAATTGTCCCCCCCCCCAAAAAAAAACCCACCCATCCCCAAAACATCAATAGAATACTGCTTTGGTTAAAGGATTCACTCACATTTTAAGTTGGAAAGAGTTAGCATGTTAAAACGATCAGGTTCCCCCTCTGTCTCTTCTATAAACATTTTCATCAAGGGAAGAATTTGATAGGGAGGCTGGATAGCTTGGAATTAAAAGGATGCAAGCTTTGCAATTTGTAAGAATAGTTTAAAGCTGTCTTATACAGTAGCTGTTAGATTTTTTTTAGCATGTAGTTCTATATTCCAAATCTTACAGTTCAGATACAATGGTAACATAATATTTAATAAAAAAGTTGTCTTCTAAAGAATCTATAAATAAAATTTTCTAAATTCTTAGAAAAGAATCTATATCTAAAATTAAATAATTTTAAAAATAATTATTCTACCAATTTGAGAACTGAAGATTTAAAATAGCAGAATTCTACCAAAATAATTAAGTCTATAGCCAGCAAAGGTTTAATACCCTAAGTAAAAAAAAAAGAAAGAAATTTGGAGCTGGATTAGTGCCATGGAAAAGGACTTGTTCTACATTTGGTTCGGGGGGGGGGGAGAAATTGTCCCCCTCAGAACAGGCTCGCAATTTGGGTGTCCTCCTAGACTCAGCTAAGATTAGAGCAACATCTGTCAGCTGTGGCTAGGGGGACCTTTGCACAGGTTCGCCTGGTGCACCAATTGCGACCCTACTTGGATAGGGAGGCTCTCCTCACAGTCACTCATGCCCTTGTCACCTCATGGTTAGATTATTGCAACACGCTCTACATGGGGCTACCCTTGAAAAGTGTTCGGAGACTACAGTTGGTCCAGAATGCAGCCGCGCGAGCTATCGGTGCACCTAGATACACCCACATTACACCAATTCTCTGCAAGCTGCACTGGCTCCCTGTTGGTCTCCGGGCACAATTCAAGGTGTTGGTTATTACCTTTAAAGCCCTACATGGCTCAGGGCCAGGTTATCTTCGAGATCGCCTTCTACCACATAGAAGCTAAACAATGCCGGCTGGCGGGCCCGTGGGGGAGGGCCTTCTCTGTGGCTGCCCCAGCTCTCTGGAACCAGTTACTTCCTGAGGTCCGGACCACCTCCACCCTATTGGCCTTCCGAAAAGCGGTGAAGACCTGGCTTTTCTGGCAGGCCTGGGGCCGTTGATCTCGCTGTTGCGATCTTGTGAGATCTGGCCATGAATGGTGTGAATGGGTTTTAATGTTTTAATTTTTAAATGTTTTTATAATGGTTTTCTAAATGCATTGTAAGCCGCCCTGAGTCTCCAGAGAAAGGCGGCATATAAATTGAAATAATAATAATAATAATAATAATAATAATAATAATAATAATAATAATTTCCTTCCTATCAGCAAGGCTATCTACAAAGATACTTGTATAGATACACTGTACATTAAGTGCTGAGGATTTTACAGGTAAAAATTGCCTGAATGTCTCAGAAATAAACCAATGTTAGAGGAATTGTACAAGTGAGTGCTCACGGTGCACCCTTGGAAACAATCTGGTTGCCCTATTTTATATTAACTATACCCAATCACACATCAAGGCAGCTTTATGTGATGTGCATTGTGGGTATCTGAACCAAAGGTAACCATGGATTATTGGCTGAGCTGCCTTTATATCAGGAAGTAATAGGTTCTTGCTCCAGCCAAAGATTGTTGAATTGGTGGGGAGGTTTCCCCAAGGGTTCGAATTTCCTGGCTGGGAGTGCGTCACCGGCGTAACGAAAGAACTTGAGATCGAAGTGAGCTGCGTGAAAGCGAGGTTTTTTTATTTCGTTTCAGGAAGACGGGTCTGGCCATGGTGTGGACCAGCGTTCCTGGGTGAGCTGACCCCGACATGGTAAGTGTACAATCTTTATACTATTTTCCCCTTTTGAAGATCTTTGTCTTCTATTGGCTATTGTGCATTTTTCCTTTTTGTGTGTGCATTTATTAATGGTTCTAATCCTATCTTGTGCTGTTATGCCCCTACAGGTATTTTCCTTGGGTGGGGATGAACTTTGGTATTTTAATTATGTGTCTAATGTGTCAGTTCCTGATTAAATTTTTGCCCTGAGCTAATCAGTACTTTGTTATCTCCTTGACCTTCTATTGTCTGAGCATCTAAATAGTTCTTCCTGCATGTCTTGGTTCTTTTTTTCTTTTTGGTATTCTGTAGCTTGTTCTTAATAGTCCTGATACTCTTGTGATTATATTTAGGAGGTTCTTTTAAAATGCATAGTTTCTATTCCTTTGGCCTGATTTAATTATGAGTCAGTATCTGTATAATCATCATAATGGTTTCTGGTTTGGTTCTTCTGACACAGCACTGCCTTGGTGAAGTTCCCTTCCTACAATCTATCATTTAAAAAAAAAAATAGGAATCTAGATGTTCCTCTTCCCTTCCTACACTCGCTTGGTCTGTGTCAGAGTATATTTGGTATTTGTGATCGATTTGGATCATCATAAGAGCTTCTTGGTGTTTTCTGGCATCTGGCTGGGAGAGGGTGGGTCGGCAGATCTTTAAGCAGCTGAAGCAAGGGGGAATGCAATGGCAGAGACAACACATGAGGGCTCCTAGCACACAGATAGTGACTATACCTGCTAGGAGAATTTTGAGCCAGTGGAAGTCTGGTAGCCATGAGAAGAGCCAGGAAAAGTCTAGGGATGATTGGTTATGGCCAATGTTCTGTGCCAGCTCTTTCAGGTGATGGATGTCTGTATTCACAATTTCTGAGCTTTGTTCTAGGTCAAAACAGCATAACCCTTTAAATTCTTCACAGCCATGGTTGTGTCTTAATAATAGGTAATCTATTGCTGCTCGATTCTCAAGGGTGGCCTCTCTGACCTGTTTCAGTTCCCTGTTTAGGGCATCCAAGACATGGGAGGTTGAATTTAAACCTTTGGCTACGGTACATGCCAGACTATTCACATTTCTGGAGTTTCGCACCGCTAGTCCTGGCACTCCCACTAGTGATACGGCCAATGAAACGTATACTGCTTCTGTGAGCAGGGACACTTGGGAGTCACAGTCTGAGTCTAGAGAGTGAAAAGCCCTTTTGCATCATCTGTGTAGGGAGGGCATTAACATGGTTAATTTTCCTAGAGTGCAATGTCCCCCTGTGGAGTTGGCGGGTAGGTACGAATAGGCTTGTAGTCCGCACAATATGAACCAGCCATGAGGTAACCTTAAATAGCTATAAGAGAAGGGAATGGGTTCTGTGTAATTGCATCTTAGTTCTGTGTTATTTAGATTGATGCAATCTCCATCCTCTCGTTTTTGGCATCCGTTAATTTTAAAGCACCAGAACGAGGGGGTAATGGTGGCTATGTGGAAGGGTGTACATGTCTAGGTCTTTTGTTGTGGAGATGTTTCCCCAGTCATAAATGGTTGAATATGATGGTGTGATGGGGAAATGTCTAAGCCTAGTGTGGTTGAGTACGGCTTGAGGTCTTACTGCTAGTCCCATTAAACATGTCTTGAGGATGTCTTTTACCGATTTACCCCCGGCTAAACAAAAATCAGTGGTGTTGAGTACTTCCTTTGCCAGATACTCCCAGATGTTTCCTTTTTCTGAGATGAGATTTGGTTCCAGGAACACTGTTATATCTGAGTTACACTTAACAATATACAATACAGATTACATATGCTTACAACCAGTGGTGGGTTTCAAAAATGTTTACTGCCGGTTCTGTGGGTGTGGCTTGGTGGGCATGGCATGGCTTGGTGGGCGCGGCAGGGGAGGGATACTGTAAAATCTCCATTCCTACCCCACTCCAGGGGAAGGATACTGTAAAATGTCCATTCCCTCCCCAATCCAGGGGAAGGTTACTGCAAAATCCCCATTTCCTCCCGATCAGCTGGGATTTGGAAGGCAGAAAATAGATGGGGGTGGGGCCAGTCAGAATTTTTGCTTGGGTTCTCCGAACTACTCAAAATTTCTGCTACCAGTTCTCCAGAACGGGTCAGAACCTGCTGAAACCCACCTCTGCTTACAACAGGTTTCTTTCCTTCCATTGCGTAGATCCCCCACCTCCCACTTTTTTTTTTTGCGTGAAAGGGATAGAGCGCACAGGGGAGGGGCAATAAAAAAATTGTCAGATCTAGGCCAAAATAACCATCTCCAAAGGGAACAGCTCCTAAGTCATCTAAAGAAAAATATCCTTTGCCCAAAGCCAGTCCAAAACCAACTTATCTTTTGACCAATGACTCTGAATTCATGTATTTTAGTAAAAAATATACCATATGTTGTTTATTTGATTTTGGCTAAGTATGTTCTGCAGACCAAATCATCGTAATTATAGTTGTAGTTTGTAAACTGTGTTTTAATCTGTTTGAACCACTGAGCTTTAATTAAGAGACTAGAATTAAAACAGATAAGGCACAGCATTGTATGTACACTGTGTCAATTGCTTGCTGCTGGGTCATTCACCTAGCTTTCCAGTAATAAAACTCAGAGAAGACACTGGGCTACTTACCACTAGGGATAATCATCATTTACTGTAAGTTTGGATTTTATCATGGCTTTATGTGAAGAAGATGAAGCTGCTCTCTTTCCAGGAGGAGAAAACCAAATGAGTAGTTGAAATTAATTCTAATGGAAAGGAACAGAAGAGAAAGTCAGATTCCAAAGCTTATGATGAGACAATGGTCACCAGGAGACCATACTGAGGGCCCAAGAATATACATTCTACTCTCACACCCAGTTGAAATCTCTACTTTCCTGGAATATAGGTGAAAGGACTTTTAAGTCAATAAAACAATACTATAGAGGAAAGGAAAGACTTTCTAGAAACCTTTGCCTTCCTTTTCAAGATAAGGAAATGCTTGATTGCCCATACTTCTCTTATGCAATCCAAAAAGCTACAGGCTGACTTATCTCTGTGTGTGTTTTATTTTTTTCTTTGAGAAAGAGCTGTTTGTGGTGCCTTTCTCCAAACTGTGATCTATAGAAATATTAACCCCTTTAACTGGAAATTCTGGTAGTTGACTATAAGATTTCCCAAACAGGCCAGATGATTATTTTAGGTCAGGGATCTATAACCTTTTGGTGCTAAGGGCATATCTAGAATTTAGAGAACAGGTTTGAGGGCATATATGGAATTTAGTGAACCTTTGCAAAAAAAAAAAAAAAACTGCTGGGGAGGATTTATCATTCAAAAGCTAACTATCAGGACATAAATGTCTATGGAGATTGTCAGTCATCTAGGTCATAGTTATCTCAAATATGCTTTTTCTCCCCACAAAAGCCAGCAGGACTGTTTTTTCAGGAGGAAGATGAAGATGTTTGCTTCTCATCCAAGAATTTCATCGGTTGTGACTGGATGATGGGGGTGATGCATGTATCTATCCTTCTATCCCCCCACCAGCCAGTCACAACTGATGAAGCTTCTTGGATGAGAAGTGAAACATCATCTTCCTCAAAACACAATCCAGTTGCCTTTTGGGGGGAAAAAGTACCTTTGAAACATTGGGACATACTGTAACTATTTACAAAATGTCTGCTATCTGAATCCCTCATAGGATGCCTACCTTTATTCTTTTTTGTGAGTAAATGGGCATATTTCTGAACAAAGCATTTTTATATCTCTAAAAAAGGTTACGAGAGCCACGTGGTGCTCAGGGGCATATTTTGAAAAGAAGATGATGAGTTTATTTTGCAGCACATGAGCTTCACCTGTTAAAAGAATAGTTGAAGAATGTATTTTTTTTCAGGCAGAGCAGAGTTTCTGGACCTTACATTTCGATTGTGAATTAGGAAAAAAAAAAAAACAATTTGTAAGTTACAATCCCTCTCCTCTATCCACCTGACAGAAATTTATAATCTTCTAGGAGTTCAGTTGAGAAGATGGACAGGAGACATAAGAATAGTAGTACTATGCAAAAAACAGACAATCTGTTATAATTATTTATTTTTGATAATGTATTATTCCAATGGATGGAAGTGAAGCAATTATATGTGGCCTGAAAGATGCCCTCTGCAGGTGCTCTTACATTTCTTGTATTTGTCAAGTGCTTGTATATGGGCCTGCATGAACATATCCACACAGGCGTACACGCATACACATAGTAACAGAATATAATTGCTGTGTTGACTATTTATTATTCTTTGGTTGGAAACAAGCAGAAGAGGCCTTCATCCTGCAGTGGATAGACAATGGCTAAGATGATGATGATGATGATGATGATACAAGTATTTGAGGTAGAGCAATCAGTAATCAAAAATCTCTGCACTCTGTCCATCAAAGCAACTGCTATGGAAAATATGAATTTGGCAACACAGCAAATATGTTTGTGAGAGCAATTTCTCAAGGAAGCAAATTAAGCAGGACAGCAACTAATGGTATGTTTATCATGTTGTAACGCACAACCAGAGATTTCAATTAACAGTTTTAATTAAAATGTTGTATATCTATAGTACTGTGCATATAACAAAGACAGATGCTCTTATTACTAATGTAGTTGCAACTTTTTTATCATGAAAGATTGGAAAAGCAACATGATTTTATATTTCTGTTCTGGTTTCTAACAAAAAAAATTAAGCTGACAGCTATAAAAATTCCCTACTTTAAATTCTGTGAGTGAAAATAAAAATATTAACTTTTGTGTCAGGTAAAACTCCTTTCATACTGTGCAGAGAATCATGGAAAGGCCCTTGGCAAATACAAGAAGTAAAAGTTTGGATTAAATACTTGTAAAGCAAGAGGAGGAAAAAAACCATTTTTTTTTTTTACAGATGGAAAACAAAAAGTTTCCACAAAAACTTTTTAACTTGAATGAGATGCACCACCCAGTGTCCAATTTGTAGTGCAACCAGTTTCTAACTGATAACTCCAGAGAACACTTTTATTATCCAAAGTTACAAACGTTTCAATATTTATGCTGCCAGGGTTGTGTAATTTAAATAATTTTGTGGTTTTTGTTATCAGAAATATGAGTACTTTCTCAACACAAAATTTACTACAAGGAATATTCAAGTGCCTTCTCAGATTCCAGTAGTAGACAGGATGCTGAAGTTCTCAAATTTTGCCATAACAGCAGTTATATTCCTTGATTATCCCTTTGATGAAATCTGGCTGTGTTTCTGTACATTTCTCTCTGTACAACTACTCCATAAAATTTATAGAAAACCAAAACAACAACATGAAAGGCTTTTTATGAAACTGAAAGTTCTGACGAAAACAACCAACTCAGTTTCAGAAATATATTCACTCTATGATAATTGCATTGCTTACCAGGAAAATGAATACACATTTCAATTATTGCAATTATAATAGTATGTTGACCTTGGTAGATAAGATCCCTGTTTGGGAAGAAGCAGCAAATTACAGTGTCAGTGAAACGTAATTATTTTATGAACTGGTATGTACAATGAAATATTCTGTGTAGCGCAGGATAACAGACAGCAAAAAAGGGGAAAGCTCTCAGCAGCTGAATGATGGTTAGAAATTTTAAAATAGGGCTATTACTTTCAAAACATTTTTCTTCTAATACAATTTGCCAGGTGTCTACAGAGCAAATTCAGCTTTGTTTTCTCATGATGCCTGGACAGGTAATTGGAATTGGCAACTCTAAAACATAATCAAGGTCAACTGTATTCACAGATGTGCTATTCTACAATATTCTCTTTATAAATTTAAGAATAGTCTTTACATATCTTTCTACAAGAAAATAGTCATCTGACTAGTGCAAAGTAGTTCTCTACTATTTTGTAATGTTTGACGGGAGCAATTCTATTCTCAAATAAAAGTAAAAACTGACAATCACCAGTGGTAATTCTTGTTTTGCATTTTTTTTTTTGTTCAGAACTCTGGAGAAATTGAACTATGTGTTAATATTCATAAGTTTGTAAGGTTAATTTGCCCCCACTTTTACACTTGGAAATCAAGCACCCAATCGTTTCAAAAATGAACAGCCCAAGAGAGGCAGTTTGGTATAGCGGTTAAGAGATATAGGCTAGAAACCGGGAGACCATGAGTTCTAGTCCTATCTTTAAGATGCAAAGCCATCTGGGTGATTTGGCCAGCCACTCTCTCAGCCCTAAGTAGGAAGCAACAGCAAACCACTTCCAAAAAAACCTTTCCAAGTTGAGGGACTTAGCCAGGAATTAAAAAGGCATAATAAGTTTAACAGAGATCAACCATGTTCAACAGGGGTTTAGTCCTAAAGTCCCAAATATCACCCGAACGGGCGTAGGCCTAGTATAGCCTCATTGGAGACGCTCTCTTTAATGGGCTCGCTCTGCGGTTTGTTATTATTTAACTACATTTAAAATGTGGCGTCCATCGCTCTCCCCCTTCTTTGCCTGGGCGGAACCTTTGCGCTGGGTGACGCAAACGGGCGGAGGGCGTTCCGCGTTGCTCGCGGCCACGGCAGAGGGGGGCAGGGGCGGCATGGCAGCGGGGCATCTGCAGCAATTCTGGGGGGCGGCGGGGCTCAGCCTGTCCCGCGGAGTGCTGATGAGTCGCTTCGCTGCTCTTCGGCCTCTGGGCCTTTTGGTCCCCCCGCGGCCTAGGCCGCTAGTCATGGGGATCCGCGGGCTGGCAGACGAGAGTGGTTTGGGGGAGAACCCTTTCTTCGAGAAATACCGAACGAAGATCCAAGAGCTTCGCAGGTATAAGGCAGCGGGTCGCCCTTCTCGTGTGCTTAAATCCCCCCCGCTTTTTTTTTTGGGTGGGGTGGGGGAAAGAAGTGGGGAATCTGAGAGTAACCTTGAAGTGGCAGCCCTAGGAACGCCCTTAGCTAGGCTTTCTTTGCCCGCCTTTCCCTGCACGCCTCCCAAAGGATTTCGAGGCATTTACACGCATTCGAGTAAACAAGTCCAGGGTCGAGTTATATATCTATCCCGCACTCGGGTTTGCAGAGGTTTACAGTTAAGGCTTCAGTTCAAGCCTTACTCGTGTGCATGTGAGCTCTACTGGTTTGGGCGCTGCTATAAACACACAGTAGATTTGCTTCCACGAGTCTTCTCCTGTTGAAGCTGGTCGCTGACAGATGTTTAGAGTAAATATGTCCAGTTTGCTGTCACCCTGTCCTGCTTTTAATAAGTTACCAAAGACCAAGTATGATAAGGAGGTCACGCACTCTTGGGGCGAAAATATGATTCTGTGTGCAGTAGTTATAAACTGTTCTAACTTTGATTCAGATCCAATCCAGATCTTTTTGAATCTCGCGTGGAGCAAAAGAATGATTTGAAAAAGCAGCCAGTGGGATTCTCAAAACAGGCAGAGTTTGTCAGATGCATGGAGGAAAAGGCAAGGCTGATATCAAATATTTCATGTTTAGTGTCTAATCCAATAAATATTTTATTAACTATCAGAAGAAATCAGGATTAGGAAACATTTTTTTTGCTATATGGAAAAAAAAAATCCTGACTGTTGTTTCCACTCGTGTGTGCCTTTGTATTTATGGTTATGCATGTATTTCAACGTTACAGAGATAGAGTAAACTTTTTTCTGTTTGTACTAAATATTCCTTTATATTGAATAGAGGCCTTTATAGTCACAGCTGGATCCTTTATCCCATTTTTTTTTTTTTGTTAAAGTGAGGCTTCAAAAAGGAGGCCTCCTTTTGCAAAGAGGACCAGTAATTAAACTGAAATTTGTTTGGACATTAAAAA